TCTTGTTGGTTTGTTGTGTTTTTGGTTTTTGTTTTAAGATTTTTAATAGGTATTTGTTTAGTGTACTGTTGGCGTTTTGGAGTTGTATATATTTTATGTGTATTTTTATGTTAGATTTTAATATTTGGTTTATTATATTGTTTAGACGTTTTGTAGTAAGTGTTGAATAGTATTTATATTCTGGTTTCAATTTAGGGATTATATTTTAACAGTGTTATGTCTTGTTGATTTTTTGTTCTTTTGGTTTATGTTTTAAGATTTTTGATAGGTAGTTGTTTGATGTAAATTTGTCGTTTTGGAGTTGTGTATATTTTATGTGTATTTTTATGTTAAATTTTAATATTTAGTTTATTATATTGTTTAGATGTTTTGTAGTAAGTGTTAAATAGTATTTATGTTCTGGTTTTTATTTTGGTATTATGTTTTTAGGATTTGATGTCTTGTTGATTTATTGTTCTTTGGTTTTTGATTTAAGATTATTGATAGGTAGTTGTTTGATGTAAATTTGTCTTTTTGGAGTTGTATATATTTTATGTGTATTTTTATGTTTGATATTTCTTAAGTACTTTTTCTAGGCTTTTTTTTAAGGTCGTGTCGAATAGTATTTAAGTTTTGGTTTTTATTTTGGTATTATCTTTTTACGATTATTTGCCTTGTTGATTTTTTGTTTTTTTGGTTTTTAAGATTTTTGATAGGTAGTTGTTTGATGTAAATTTGTCGTTTTGGAGTTGTATATATTTTATGTGTATTTAAATGTTTGTTAATTATTACATCTTATTGGTTGTTTGTAGGTAGGGTTGAACAGCTGGTCATTTTTTTTGGCTTCTAATTAGAGATCTACTTTTTACGGTTTGATATCTTGTTGGTTTGTTGTGTTTTTTGTTTTTGTTTTAAGATTTTTAATAGGTATTTGGTGTACTGTTGGCGTTTTGGAGTTGTATATATTTTATGTGTATTTTTATGTTTGGTAGTTTTTACTTCTTTTTGGTTGCTTTTTTTTTTTTTTTTTTGTGATTTGTGTTAGGTATTTGTTTGCTGAATTGTCTTTTTTTTTTTAGTGTTTGATATTTGTTATCTATTTTGATGCGTAGGTATTCTAGAATATATTTTGTTTGGTTGTTTTTAAGTAGTGTTTAACAGCTGTTCATCACCATTGGCTATGAATTAGGGAATTTCTGTCACTGATTTAGGTCTGATTTTTGTTCTTCGGCATTTTTTTTTTTTTTTATTCGATTTGTTTAGATATTTGTTATCCCCCAGGGGAACACGTTCTTACGTGTTTACGGATCTCAGCGCACCCGGGGTCCCAAGCTCTTGTTTGGTTGTTTGTAGGAATTGATGATGAAATGTTGTGCTCTTGGTTTTTAATTTATGATTATTGATAGGTAGTTTTTTTATGTATATTTGACGTTTTGGTGTTACATAATTTTTTTTTGTATATTTTATGTTAGATTTTAATATTTGGTTTATTATATTGTTTAGATGTTTTGTAGTAAGTATTGAATACTATTTATGTTCTGGTTTTAATTTAGGGATTATATTTTTACGTTTTGATGACTTGTTGTTCTTTTGATTTTTAATGTAAGATTTTTGATAGGTATTTATTTGATGTATATTTGTCGTTTTGATGTTAAATATAGTTTTTTGTATATATTATGATAGGTACTTATTTCTTGGTTTATTATATTGTTTAGATATTTTGTACTAGGTATTGAATACTATTTATGTTGTGGTTTTAATTTAGGGATTATATTTTTAGAGTTTGATGTCTTGTTGATTTGTTATTCTTTTGGCATACGTTTTAAGATTTTTGAATGTTATTTGTTTGATGTATATTTGGCGTTTTGGATATATATATATATATATATATATTTTAGGTGTATTTTAATGATTGGAAATTCTTACTTCTTTTTAGGTAGTGTTGAATAGCTTTTCATCACCATTGGTTTTGAATTAGGGAACTGTCTTTACTGTTATGTTGGTCTGTCTTGTTCTTCTGCCTTTTTTTGTCGATTTTATAGGTATTTGTTGTCCCCCAGGGGAACACGTTCTTACGTGTTTACGGGTCTTAGCGAACCCGGGGTCCCGAGCTCTTGTTTGGTTGTCTATTGTTAGGAATGATCAGCTGTTCAACTTTTTTTGTTCGAATTAGGGAACTGTTTTATTTATTTGATGTAGGTCTGTTTTTTGTTTTTTGTGTTATTTATTTGATGATTTTAATAGGTATTTATTTTATGTATTGCCTTTCATATCGTGTCATTTATGCTTTTTGATAATGGTCAGTTTTTGTTTGTGATTTGCATTAGGTATTTCTTTGATGGATTGTTTTTTTTAAGGTGATATATATTTGTTATCAATTTTTGCTACTTAATAGAAATATAATTTATAAGTTTTAGGAATGTTTTAATCCTTGCCTTTTTTTTTGCCTTCTTTTTTATTTGCTTTAGATATTAATTTGATGGATTCTTCTATATATGATATTCAATATATTTATCTATTTATATGAAAGGTATTTTTTTCAATTATTTATTAAGTTATGTTCAATTGTATTGATTTTTATTTTTATTTACGGAAATTGGATTTTTATTTTTGTGAAACCAAGGTATCTTTGGAAGCCAAGTTGCCATCAATTTAAATTGATTTATTTAATTTTGTTTCAAAATATTCAAATTTAAATTGATTTCATTTTATATTTTTTTTCAGAACTTGGATTTTTTTTTTTTTTTTTTGATTCAACCTTTAGAAAGTGTCCTTCAAGATCTGGGTAATCACTTAAATTTATTTTTTTTGAATTTTATACATTTAATATTTAATGGTATAAAATCAAATGAATTTTATATACATAGAATATCTTGAAACTTTTAAATCATTTGATTAAAACTAACTAATAATTATTACTCTTTATAAATGTTGCTCATAAATTTAAATTATAATTCAATTTAAATTAATCAATCATATTTTGTTTCAAAATATTCAAATATTTATTCATTCATTTTTATGTTTTCTTTTTCAGAACCTGGATTTTTTTTTTGGATCCACCCAAATCAATTTTCCTCCGGGAGCCGGGGATCCCCTTTTCGTTTTGGTTTTTGAATTTTAGACTTAAAATATTTAATGGTATAAAAATCAAATTCATTTAATTTATATAAATTATCTTAATAAATCTGATATGTTTCTTTTCAGAACTTGGATTATTCTTTGTTTATACCCAAAGGAAGTGTCATTGGAGAGCCGGGTAACTACTTATAATTTCTTTTGTTGTATTTTATACATTTAATATTTAATGGTATAAAATCAAATGAATTTTATATACATAGAATATCTTGAAACTTTTAAATCATTTGATTAAAATTAACTAATAATTATTACTCTTTATAAATGTTGCTCATAAATTTAAATTATAATTGAATTTAAATTAATCAATCATATTTTGTTTCAAAATATTCAAATATTTATTCATTTATTTTTATGTTTTCTTTTTCAGAACCTGGATTTTTTTTTTTGGATCCACCCAAATCAATTTTCCTCCGGGAGCCGGGGATCCCCTTTTCGTTTTGGTTTTTGAATTTTAGACTTAAAATATTTAATGGTATAAAAATCAAATTCATTTAATTTATATAAATTATCTTAATAAATCTGATATATTTCTTTTCAGAACTGGGATATTTTTATCATCTATCAAAATCAAAATTGTTTCAGGAGCTAAGACCTTTTTTCATTTTCCACTTTACATTTTCAATGGTATATACATGATAATTTTGTAATTTACTTAAAATAATTTAAAAAATTTTAAATAAATTATATTAACTATATATATTCTTTATATAATTACTCTCCTTTAATAACCAAATAATATTATTATAATTCAATTTTTATGGTTGTTTTCAAAACTGAGATTTTTTTTTTCATTTACCTAAATCAAAATTCCTCCGGAAGTCGGAGATCATTTTTTCATTTTTAATGGTACAAATATGATTGTCTTATAACTTATTAAAATATTATAGAAATATAAAAAAATATTTAAATTTATGCTTTATTTCTGACTTTTTATTAATCAAGTTTAAATGTTTATATGAATAATTAATGTTTTATGAAAAGTAATAAGTTATTTAATAGTTTTATTAAAAGGAAATATTTACTTCTACAAATTTTTATAGCATTCAGACCTTGAAAATTCTTTAATGTCATCTTTAATACCATTAATATCAATCAATAATGAGAAATTTTTAGCTATTACTGGATCACTCAGTCGACTTGATACACCACTATTTGCCAATATCTATATCACCACATCAAGGACACTCTTCGCAGGAGCATTTCTGAAAAAGATTATTGAACAATAATTGTTGTATATGATGAAAGGAGAACATAAAATAGTTTAATGGAATTTTTTTACCTTGGAAGTTATAAAAAATACATATATTTATTTTCTTATTTTGAATGGAAGATAAAGTTTAATATTTACATAAATTACCTCAAGTTGCCACTATGTTGAAGATTTGACATTGTAGTGGTTTAAGTAAATAAAAAATGTAATAATCTGGTGTAGAAGGAATAAGATGCAAGTTCTGCTATACCATGTGTGATGTTTCGGTATTGTTCCTCTTCTTTTGGCCAAAAGGTACACTTAGTCACTGACCTATAGAAGGGCCGCTATGAAACATTGTTGGACAACAAGATTGATTGACAAGGAAACAAATTAAAACGGTGTTTGAAACATCACAGCAACATAAACATACTATCAGTGTTCACGAAAAGACAACAATTTACAGAAGAGCCCTCGTGATTATGGATGTTGCGATACTACTGAAATTAAAAAAATATCATAATGGTTCAAAAATCAAAAGTACTCGAATGGTCAAATGGTATCAAAGAATAATTCTTTTCTAGAAAAATTATTTGCGCACATGGTAGAGAATTTGTTTATAAAATTCGGTCATCATACTAAAGTCTATACTTTATACGACTGTATTTGTTATTTCCATGAACCAGAAACTACAGTCCACAATACAATAGTGTCAATAGGTTTATAATAAACCTTTTTATCATAAATTATGTATACTGAGTTCATTTTTAGCCATGGAAATAGTAAAAAGTATTGCACAAAATATACAATATGTTTAGATTTACTGATTTATATACCGATTAGATGAAATATAAATTACAAATAATGATATAGGTACCTGGCAAAAAACAATTAAAAATTTGTTTACATACAGCATTTTTATCTGTGGTTCATGAACCATAACTAGTTTTAGTTAAATATTAGAAAAATGGCATATTTTAAGATATACTAACATTTTGAATTCATTCTTAACTTGGAGAAAGAAAACTTTAAAATATAAAAATAATTTTTCATTTGATACTTATTCATATAGGTCGTTTTCATATTTTATTGTTATCAATATTTTAATTATATTTGTTACGATGATAGGACTAAGTAAAAGGATCAATATTTTTTTTTTCGATACTCATACCGGTCGTTACGTTTCGTTATTTTCATTCCATTCGTTACCAAGTGAAAGTATCGATACTTTTCTTTCGATATCATGTCTCTACCTGTAAAACCATAGATAATAGTTAGATACTTCTTTGACAGTAGAAATTAATTTTTTTATAGATAATACATTACATGCTTTTATTAAAGTTAGATTTAGGCGGTGCGATGCACAATGAGTGTATATTGCCTTTGGTTGCAAATTTAAGATTCTAGCTTGAACTCCGCGGTATTTACCAGACATATTTGCTCCACCATCATATCCCTGCCCTCGTAAAAATTCCAAACTTAAACCAATTTCTTTTAATTTTTGGACAATTGTATTTGCTAAATTTTCACCAGTACATTCATAAACCGGAACAAAGCAAATAAAATTTTCTTTTATTAAGCATGATTTTAAATCAACATATCTAATTGATAAACTCATTTGCTCAATGTGTGATAGATCAGAAGTTTCATCACATGAAATTGAAAAAAATTTACATTCATTCACCTCTTTTATTAATTTGTCTGTGATAATCAAGCCACATATATCGATCAAATTATTTTAAATAGTTTTACTAACAAATGTTGCATTTTTTTGGAGCCGATTCTAAGTGATTGCGAAGATCTACATCGGCCGCGTCTATTCTGAACATCAACAATTCTTTGGATATTCCAATATTAAAATAATTTTTTGCTTGGTCATTTGAAATCAGATAAATTAACATCGTCTCTATGCCTCCTTATAGATATATTATAACGACCACAGAAAATAATTGTTTTAATTATAGGAATTAACTTCTTTTTATTTTGTTTGACAGTTTCATTTAGTTGGTCATCAAGTCTATTGTTTTTTGTTTGCCTTCAAAACATTTTATAAATTCTAAAGATCGCACAATTGCTGTTTTATGATATTCTCTTTCCATATGTATCTTAAAATCGTGTAAAGCATCTTTGTATTTTATCATAGGAATTTCTTTTAAGACCCCAAGCCTTTGTCCTCTAATCCCACCAAACTTTGGTCCAAAAAGTACACATACTTTACAAAACGCTCCTTCTCTATTACGACTATAAGCTAACCAGTAGTGCTTATTTAGCCATTCAATTTGAAAGCTTCTTTTATGACCTTTTTTATTCATACTTACAGGGAAAATATAATTTTGTTTAGGTGACCACGTTTCTTTTAAATATTTGTAAAGCATATTTGGATCATTTCGAATTTTTTGATTTGCATTTTCTTCAATGCGATATCATATTGACTGTTAGAATCGACTTCACACGAATCAGAAAATGTAGCTGGCTCTGACTCTGTTGGTAACACGCTTACATTTTCTATACCTTCACTTGGAGATGGATTATTTTCGTCACTTGTTTTCAACTTTTTAAAAAAAAAGTTTATTTCACTTTGTCGTTTTTTGTGACATTTTAAAACAGAATAATTGAACATGAAACTACAAACGAAAACACTACGCACAACAGCAGTACATGCGAGTACAGCACGAAATACGAATTACACACGAGTGACACGACGACTGTAAAATTACTAACATTTTAAAACAATAATAGTAATATAGAAATGGATTAGTGAGAAACGTCTTACAAATAAAATAAAATAAAATAAGATAAGATAGTGATGGCCAGTAAGAACGATACATGGCAAAAATAGCCGATCTGCCGTCTGCGTTAAGGCGAAATGCCTTTATAACCGCATAATAAAAGAAATAGTAATATGTTTGGGAGAATTTCTTATATAATGATAATATAATAATAATATAAAATATATGTAATGGTAATATTTCTTAAATTATAATATAATGTGTTTGAGCGAAACAATATAAAAGATAAAATTATAAAAATTAATAATAAAAAATAATAAAACCTAACTTATGCCAATGGGAGGGGCCGAGGCCCTTCGGGCCCCCCTTAAATTCGCCACTGAATACTCACAAATGAAATGATACGTTGCCTGTATTATCTTTAGAGGATACATGACAAACAATGCAAGTACGAACCATAGCTTGAAGACAAATGATAATTCGTACAGAATCGGGAATACTTCAATTTGTAAAAATGTTAAATAATTTTAAAATAAAATGCGTTAACAATAAAAATATTTGTTATCATCATAGATATCTTCTATTATCATTATGAAATAAAACTAATGATAAAACCCCTTGCTAAAGTGAGTGCGCTATATAAAAGCAGTCTATCTCTCATCCACATTCCGGACCGCGACCCCTTGTATTGTTAATATATGATTGGCCTATCCATTCTTCTATTATCTATGGCTGTGACTATGATGACTGTTATCAGTTTTAACAGTTCTAATTCTAATCTAATACTATCTTTAATCTTGTGTAATAGTATATACTATAAATACCTATGCTATCAAATATTGTATACTGTGAAGAGTATACTTCATTATTTGTTAAATTAAAGATATTTAACAATTTAAACAGTTAAAATATATATATAATGAATAAAAATTATATTTTTTCTAGTTAAAATGTTATATTCATATAAATAATTAATACAATTTTAACAAATTAAAAATTTAACCTAGAAGTAGTTGAAGCACATAATTGCTTGTTTTGAATATTTTCATTATTCTCGTCATCGTTTAAGCAAGGTGGTAGATGCAGTTTCTATAAAAATAAATACAATATATTATTATTTATTAGAAGTTATTATGAGGTTGAATATGAAAATACTATGCCACTATCTATGATGTATCAATAGTAACAATATCATATAATACATGGTCTAAACCAGTCATTTTTTCTATTTTTTAGTGAACTGCGACACAAAGTGTGTAGTCAGAAACTGGAAGTGTACACTACAGATTTGAAAAGTGTGTACTTACTAAATACTAATAACCAGGGCTCGGGACTTATAGCACTTAAAATCATTAAAATAAGCGCTTAAAAACATCATTATAAGTACTAAAATAAGCAATTAAAAAATTTAAAATTAAGCAAAAATATTTATTAAAAAAAAAGAACTATAAAATTCTAACTAAAAAATCAAACAAAATAAAAATAAATCTTCAATTTCAAGATTAAGGATTTTATGGATTTTCTGAGGGATTTTTCTGAAAAAATAAAATGTAAACTGTTCTCTTTGTTCTTGATCATTCTGACGTTTGACACTCAGTTCTATTTTCAGCGTTGGAATATCTTTGTTAATCCTTCAACGATGCCTAGGATGACAACGAACTACGTTATATCGTAGATTAGTATTAATTTTAATTTTAATTTTATAAAAAACGACAGGAGAAAACTATAAAAAAAAACTATAAAAACAAAAAAAAACTGGTCAAATAAGCAAAAAAAAGCTAAATAATTTTTTAAAATCTTTGGAGATAGCTGATAACAACCACTGTTATAATAAATAAAAATAAATATATCATATTAAATAATGATAATTAGAATAATATAATAAAATATTTAGTATAACTAAAATTCTAAAACCTTTTCATTCTTATTTTTGACTTTTGAGCGTTATAGTATTAAAACTTAGAAAATCCGTTTTAAATTATAATAATGCCTCCTTAATACTAACAAAAATTTTGTAAAGAATGGTTAAGTGATCCACTATTCAAAAATTGGTTGGTTAAACTAGAAGATAAACAGAAAGTCTGTTGTAAATTTTTTAAATGTGACATAAAATCAAAACTTTATGATTTAGTTCAACATTTTAAATCTAAAAAACATTTAGTGGCCTCCAAAGATTTTTTTACTTTTAGATCAATTAAAACATTTACAAAAGTGATTTCAATAAAAACAGCTGAAGCTGAAGGTACTACTTGTCTGTTTATATATAGCTTGTTCTAGTCGTATCAAGGAAAAATATATTTAGCCTAATCTAGCTTTTTTTCATAATAGTAATGCTTATTTTAATAGTTCAGCAATGGCAACACTACTGATGAGGACTTAAATATATCTATTAAATATTAAATTATATGTCCCACATTAAAATTAATAATTTGTAAATAGTTTTAAGGTTTATAACAGACAAAAGTATATTTTCAGTTTAAAAATAGAAGCTGGTCTAGACCATATAGTCTTAACTCTAAATACTAAGAATTCATTAATATATGGCAAACATTGTATGGCATATAATGTAAAATCATACAAAAAGAAATGCTATTACAAAACCCACCAGCCCATATTTTACACAAATATCAAGTGTCCTGGTGTCTTCGTAATAATTAAAATCATAGGAATTTTAGTGTATTGAAATATTTACTTATTAAAATCATAGAATATATTAAATCTTAAAAAAAATATTTTTTTTTTTTAAATCTAAGATTAGTAAATTAAATAAGATTTGTAATTATCAAACCCAATCATTTTTAATAATGCATTATAAATATAGAATATATCAGAAAAAAATTACTAAAATTAACATTTAACAAACAAACAGATTTTTATATAAAATTGTTTAAAATTAAATTTTATTAATTATGTTACCCTAGTAGAAATATAACCTAATCAAAAAATTACAAATTAATAAAATATTTATAATACCTCAATACATAGTTTTTTCCTTGTGAGTTTTGTAGCCCAATCTACACATGATGGTTCATATAAAAAGGTATTAAATGACGCTAATTTACCAATGATAAGCTTTCCATTATAATCTGCACAAGAACTTAATTCCATTGGCTTAAGAATTAGCACTGTATCGACAAAATGTTCTATTCGACATTTAATTATCTAATAAAAGTAAAAATTTTATATTATGATAAATATATTTAGATTCGTAATATTTAATAGCTGAATATTTAAAATAAAATAAATTCTTACATTATTTATTATTTGAGCTCGAGTTGTTATAAGACAAGTAGCATATGAAGAACGTATAAGAATTCGAAGTTTGTATAAAAATTTAACAATGTCCATATCATTAGAATCCCAAATAGGCGAAAACAAATTATTTATTGTTATTCTTAATACATGTCTTTGTTCAACAGGAATCTTCGTACTAAAACCATCTGTAGTTATAACTTTATTTATGAATTCTAACAAATGAGAATAACTAGTACCTGATAGAAAAAAAATCAAAAAAATAATTAATATTACAAGTGTACTTGTTTAAAAATGAAAAAATTAAATTGTATTGTTTAAATTATAATTTTTTTAAAATAGTATCTAGGATAAAGTTGGGTTTTTAGTAGGTCGAAAATCTACCTAAATATTTAGTTAATAAACTAAAAATATATTGAACATTTCTTAGTGTACATAATTAGCTTTATAAGTAACCTAATAGTTAGAAAGATCCTTATTTACTTAAAATTATAATAATTTTATTAATTTCTAAGCAAATAAATACGATTTGGATAACAGTGTAACATATTTAAAGATATATGTCTCCATATTATTTTAAGTTTTCTAAACAGTCCATTTATAATCAGAGCTTAATTCAAATATAACTAAAAATACTGAGAATTTATTAAGTTAAAAAAACTGAAAGTTATAACACTATTTTAGATGAAGAGATATACTTTTTTTTATAGTTATTTAAAATTTTATAAGTTTAGTCAATAGTTATGCAAATAATTTATATTTATAGAGTTTAGTACTCATTGGTACCATCCTCCAATTTATTAAAGATCAAACTTAATATATTATATTAAATATTAAGGTAAATACTTTGGGATTGGACATTTGGCCAGTATTTAATGTTTTGTAATTCATCAGTAGATATTTTTGCTGACATATCAAATGTATGTCCAAAAGATATAGATGTCTGATGTGGTTTAGAATCATAAATTGGATTTTGACTATACCGCCATGCTATTTTAAAATCTTCAACAACACCTGTAGGTTGAAAACTTTCTTCTTGAATAAGTTTTGGTAAATCATTTGCCTAAATAAAAAGTAAATAAATGAATAAAAAATATTTAAAGAAATAATTTTGAAATTTATGGATTATTTTAACTCAAAGTAGAAAAAAAAAAATTCTAATGAATGTTTAAATAAAATTAGTTTTAATTTAAAAAAATTGTTTCATAAAATATTGTTATTTAGAAATATAAGAATTGTAAGATTATACAAATATTTTATTCAATATCAAAATAAGTATTGAATAAAAGATTCTGAAAAATATTAAAACCGTAAAAAATTAATAAAATACTTGTATTTATTAATTTTTAATATGTCTACCATTTATTCAAAAAATAAACTTACAATTGTTTCTGGTTTCTTCTCAATATCAGCTATTAAAATAGAATGGTCACAAACAACTCCTTCAGCAATAAAATGTTTTGTAATCAAATCAGCGTTTCGGCCATAATTTTCTTCTTCTACAATTAACAAAATTAATTAATTATAAATAAGAGTAACCTTACAGATAAAAAATAAGACAAAATAGACTGATTATTAATATAGAACTCATAAAAAAAATAAGAGTTAATAATATAGAACAATAAACAACAACATAAAATGTAAACATAAACATAAACATGTTTAAAATAATTGGAAGTGGTATAATTTTATATTATTGTTACATTATGTCCTTACCTACAAGGGTAACTGTGCCAATTGGAATACCCCCATCTGAAATATTTAAGTTGATATAGTAAATGTAGATGAATATAAAGAAATAACATTGAAATTTTATGCTTTTACCCAAAACAGCATCCAAGGAAACAATTCCGGTAGAAATTAAGATTTGGTTTTTAGCCACTGATGTTTTTGTACCTTTTAGCTTTAAATTTTTTCTTTGGCTAATTGTATGAGATTGTAAAATAAACGACATAATGAGGAAACAGAAAATATTTGATTATGTATGCAAAATAATGATTAAAAAATAAGAAACAATTTAATATTCAATAAATACTAAAATGTAATAAGTAAATGCATTTGAAAGTGAAAAATTGTTATCATTGTTTATCGAAGAATAATATAATCTAGTAAATTAAAACAATTTATTTTATTTACATTATACTACAAAATTAACAAAATAATTATTTATTGTATAGAATTTAATATTCATAGTCAGTGATATAATTCTTAAATTCCAAATCTTCAACTGTTTTACCTCGTGACTGTTATCAATTATCATAGTACTAAATAGTAAATCAAAGTGGATATATATATATATATATATATCCACCTTGTAGTAAATATTTTATTATCGGTTCTTATCGTCAGACAATTATGTGAAACTTGTGATACGACACAGACAGTGGCGCCGAACACGTACTTTCATGGGGCGATTCCCCCTTGTATTTAACTTTGTGCAAACGAGGATTCATTGGGGGGTCGGTAGGGCACCCCACCCCTCCGTTGGCTGTATCCATAGGCGTACGCACGGGTGGTGACTGGTGTACTTGGGCACCCCCTGAAATATCGTAAATGGAGGTCTATAATTTAAGTCTATAGTAAGGGGCCTGTATTTTAACTGATTTTGTTCAAATTAAATTAAATTTATTCGAAAATATTTGGTAAAAAATAAATGATTTTTCGTAATAGAATAAAACTAAATTTTCTACACTTTCATGCAAACATGTATTATGATAATATAACAATATATATTCAGTAGTAATGGACTACAAAAAACAAATCGTGAATAATTGAAGCTATCTAAGAAAAATATACGAGATTCAAGGAAAAAATTATTTATTGAGACTAATATAGCACAATATTAAATAAGAAATTAAAGTTATGTTACACGTTTTGTTAAGATAGGGCCTAAAAGAATTGTAGGTACCCTCTGAAATACAAGTCTGCGCACGCCTATGGCCGTATCAAAATGTGTTACCTATTTAATTTATTTAAATATAATATTTTGTATAACTATAAATTTATTGTTATATTTTTCAGTTAAAAATCTTTGTATTTTATTTTTATAACAACTTTATCATTTATTATGATTATACTACATTATTATTTTGACTGACTGATCGACGACGGCCGTCGACTGCCATCCACTTATAGGGTTTAAGCCTGTTTCACACCTGTCCGAAACAGCACAGCAGAATACCGAACTGAAACGTAAAGGCATATTATCATTCATGAGTTAGAATATTGTAATTTGTTTTAAATTTTTTTAGTAGATGTTATAGTAAGCCATCGGGTAGCAAACATCCGCTAACATAATATATATATAATACAAAATAATACATAATATATATATATATATATATATATATATCATGTATTGATACTGATGTGGCAAAACCGAAACGGAAACCAATATCAATACTCAGCTACCCGGCCAATAAAAATAATTAGAAGTCAACTTATAAATAGCGTGAGTACCGAGTTAGAATATAAATAATGATATAAAATCAGTTAGAAAGGCTATGTATATTCAACGAAGAAAAAACTTTCCTCCTTACCCTTCATCTTTAGAAAATGCCATTATGCAACTTAACGAATTACAAAATAAAGATTTTTTAATGTTTAGAGGGAAAAAATTTATACATTTACCCGATGATTGCACTTTTATTTGCTTAACAACTAAAGAGAATCTTCAATGTTTGACAAGTTGCACAGATATATTTTCGGACGGAACATTCGACTATGCTCCAAAATTTTTTTTGCAATTATACACCATTCATGGCTATAAAAACGATGTTTACGTACCTTTGGTATACTTTTTTTTAAAGGATAAATTTAAAAACACATACATAAATGTATGGAAATATTTAATTAATATATGTGAAAATCAATCACTACTTTTTAAAATTGAAATATTACACATTGATTTTGAAATTGGTGTTATTCAAGCAACAAAAGAAGTTTTTCCGGATGTCAAAATTAAAACATGCCGTTTTCACTTAGGACAAGCTTGGTGGCGCAAAGTAAGTTGAATCAATATGAATATTTTTTAGAAATAATTAATCAAAATCAATTTTCAGATTAATGGCAATACAAAGCTAAGAATGGCATACAGCGATCAAAAGAACGATTTACAATTATGGCTTAAATCATTTTTTGGACTTTCTTTCATCGCTCCAGATGACCTGGAGGATGCTTTTGTAGAGCTTATAAGTACGTGTCCAAATATTACAGATGGACAATTATTTTCTGACTATGTTTTGGAGACGTATGTTGAACCTGGTTGTTTATTTCCACCTATTTTATGGGCTGAAACGCCATCACTAAATCCTAGATATATATTTACTAATAAGTCAAAAAAATAAAAATTGTTTACTATATTCATACATTTCAGAACTACAAACGGGGCTGAAAGTTTCCATAGAACATATAACGCCTAGTTTACTAGTGCTCATCCTCCGACATCTGTTGTTATAAGTACGCTTATGGAAACTCAGGCAGAAACCGTCACTAAATTATCAACTATTTCCAAAGGAAAAATCAAGCCAAAATCAAAGAAAGAACTAAAAATAATCGAATTTGTGAGTAAACAACACAAACAATATCTAAAAAATAAAACACCGGAAAACTTACTTAAGTATTTAGCTTTAATTGGAAATAGATATCAGGGCTTTAAAATTTAAATTTTTTTCGATATCTATTCGAATATTTTATATTATTTTATTACAATTTTTTATTGAATTAGACTGAGTGTGAATATAAAGTATCTGTTATTTTTTGTAACTATTTGTACTATTTAACCTAAACACATATAATTTAATACATATATTTTAACATACAATACACATACAATTTAACCTAACAACATATACGACAAATCACAAATTTTTTTATAATTTTTTTAATAATAATAATTATTTTATATTTTAATAATAAGTTGGCAATGTCGCATCCAATTTCACACGCAATCGTACGCTTTTGAAAGGTCAAAAGCGTGTTCTTTGTTATTCCGGCACTGCGCGCAATCGTATGCCCAAAAAGGTAAAACGCGCGCAATCGTACTCCACCGATACGGCTGTATCAAGCGTATAGCTTGTAACTTAACAAATGTAAATAGTAAAACTTTTGGTTATATATTTGACGTGATTCAGTATCGGATATATTATTATTTATCTTTTTTTTTTTTTTTATATGAACAATTCAAATTTGTTGTCATTTAACAAGTTTTCATTAGAAAAGGGGGATCCCAAAGACTATGTGAAATCGAGGATGATAAATCATATATCAGCAGAAGACACTAGAAATAAATTAAGTCACCCAGCTGTAAATCCGGATAGTGAAATCAAAACAAGTCTTTGGAGAATAATAACATAAAAAAAAAAGTAACAATGATCTATTTTTTTTTTATTATATCTTTTTATTTAAATTTTTTTGTCAACATGAAAGAAATAAACGTGATATAATTCAAACGAAGCGTGAAATTTTTTTGTATGTCATATTATACATTTATACCATAAACACGTACTTTCTAACTTTGAAAATAGAAAGAGATATGAAGAGCGGTTAAATTAAAAATCAATACCCACTTAATAAAATAATTAGTCCATTTTTTTATCATGTAAAAGTGTTATAGAATGAATACAAAAGTATAATATTCTATCATGTTTTAAGCGAATACAAGTAAAGTGAATATTGTTCGAGCAAAGCGAGAAAAAAAAAAATTTGTTTCCTACCATATGATATTTATTACATGAAATAAGGCGTATACCCATAATTTATTTTAGCAATACATCACTGCACAAATATATAAAACAGTGATTCTCAATCTTTTTTTTTGTTCACGACACACTATATAATACAAGTTTTCGCGGCACACTCATGCACTGGACAACAACAAAAACTTTGGCTTCACCAAGTCCAGTAGGGTTACTATTATATTATATATTATATATTATAATCTACACAATTAATTGAAATTTAACTGTCACAGTTTTATCAATCGGCCATTTTTCTCGGCACACCGATTGAGAACCACTGATATAAAACATCTATAGATAGCCGACATTCTGAACGACATTACAGGAAGACATGAAGCGTGTGCGCCATATGCAAAGCTGGAAATGTTTACAAATGTTGTAAAGGTGCGATCCACGTACCGTGGGATTACGTCCACGTCATAGTCCCCCATTACGAAAACTATAAAAAAATTATACTCAAATATTTTGTTCATCATTTGTATAAATGTATACGAAAGTTTTTAGAATTTATACGACGTAATTATTAGACTTATATCAAAAATACTGAAGAGGGGTCAGAGACTGATGTCTCCGGCCCCTCCCCCTAACGTAAATAAATAAGTATTCTTTTTTTTAATTTAGTAAAACTCAAGAACTCAATTTGTATGAATTTGTACGACCGTTTCCGGAAATTTTACCAAACCCCCCCTCCTGTAATATGTGAACCCCCCCCCCCTAAATTAATTTCTAGTTACGCCACTGCTACCAGTTCATTTTTTGAACTGTGAACTGTTAGATTACAGGTATCTACCGAAACTATTCATTCACGAACTTAATATATCTACTGTCAAAAGTTCGAAACTCGACAACCGTCGATACACATATACCACGATCTATTTAATTTACTATTTGTTGATGCGCGTCACAATTAAAAAAGATTGCATTATTTTTTAAAAGAAAAGAGTAATTTTAAATTTTAAATAATTCAATTAAAAACATTCAATGTAATGAAAAAAAGTAAGAATTATAATTAATAAGGAATGTATATATATTAAAGATCTGCAAGGGCCGGGCCGGTCCAACCTGGTCCTCAAATAGCCCGGCCCGTACTAAGACTGGACCGGGCCGGGCCTTAAAAAAAATAACGAGGGCTAGATCGGACTTTCGTTTTCGTAAACATTTTCAGACCGGGCGGGCTGGGCTTTTTTGGTAGAACTTTTCGGGCCGGACTCTCAAAATAATAAAACCAAGGATGAATCGAGATTTTTTTTTTTGTAAAATTTTTGGGGCCGGGTCGGGTTTAAGGTTTTTTACATTTATTTCACCTTTCTAAAAATACAATAATAATCAATTTATTGTCTTCATTATTTGTTAAAAAAATTACCTAGGTAATAGGTATCACAATAATTTGTTCTAAAGATTATAATGAATGGGTACATAGGCGGATATCAGAGGGGCTTGGGGGGGGGGCTTAGACTTCTCAAATATTTTAATAGCCCCCTCCTAAAATCGAAACTTTGTTAGAAATTTTATTCGTTATTTTTATAATTTATTTATAATAATTATAAATATAATAATATTATAATATTAAAATTATTATTATTATCTGTTCATTTTTTTTGAAAATCGTAAAATAAGAAATAATAAAAAACTATTTACAATAGCATTAACAATACCAATTACATAGTTTGGCTACTTGCGAAAGAAGTTTCAGTGCAATGAAAAAATAAAAACTTAATTAAAGACATTGTTGGTTCAAGATAGGTTCAGCAATCTTTCAATACTATACATTGAAAAAAATATATCGAAAAATATAAAAAGCGATGATATTTTGAGTATCTTTGCTAATATAGTTATTTTTCATTAAAATAAAATATTAATTATTTTTAAATATACAATATTTAATGTTTTTTTAATACAATTTAAACATATCTATATTTTAATGGTAATAGTTTTACTTGTGTATGGGAAAGGGGTGTGGGAGCAAAGCCCCTACGGGTTATTTTACATTGAATTATCATAGTCCCCCCAAAAATTCAACCAAATGTCCACCTATGAATGGGTTATTAAATAATATTGATGAATAATTACAGTGACTGTGTCATGTGAGTGAGGCATTTGTCATAGTCTGCCTCCCCCCCAAAATAACGCCCCTGAATGAAAGCGTAAACGCATTGGGTGTTAATAAAACTGAAGAGCGTTCGATGACAAAATTATTAGTAGAAATCGTTTAGTACAATTGTACTATATTGATTTATACGTTGTATAAATTTAAATTGATAAATAAGCATACATAATAAATAATAATTTCCGCACAAAAATGTGTATCATAATTCATAAAGATTATAATTTAAAATTTAAACAACATAAACAAATTTGATGTAAATTTTTATAATTTATATTAATAGATACCTGTAATTTGTAAAATTATAGAAGCGTATAATGTAAGCCAATGTTCTTCTGATAAAAGGCAAATGTTAATAAAATCATTAATATTAACTTATCTGTAATTGTCAATTAGTATTCGGTACCTATTTGAAGTCAATAATATTCGTCAACAGTGCGTTTTGTGGAAGAGTTAAAATAGAAAACAATAAAACACGTTATCGGGGTCAGACAAGACTGATTCGCGGAACCGATTAAAAACCGTCAAGAGAACACTGTAATTTGCTGCGATTGGCGGTCGAACAGTTCAAAAACATAAATCCAAGTTTATATTTGTCTGATCATACTGACCAAATTTTATATTTTTATATTCATATTTTTTTCACAACACACGATTTAATATAAGTAGATGCTAGGAATCTTTTTAAAAATTACGTATCTAATAAACAGAAATGTTAAAATGCTGCCACTGAAAAATGCCGCCCTAGGCATGGGCCTATATCCCCTAACCTTTGAGCTGAGCCTGGGTATACGCACTAAAAAACTATGGATATTAATCCTAAAATATATTTTCTCGTTTCGCTTGACAATTTTTTTCTTAAGATACGTTCGAAAAAATTAAATTTATCCTTTGTACCCCTTTTTTTTTTAGTTATAAATTTGTGGATTTGTTTGTTGTAGCTCTCCATGCTTCTCTATCGTAAGACAATTCCTTCAGGTCTTTGTAATTTCTTTTATTCGTGTCCTGAATTATCTGTGTCATGAATTCTGCCCTTGGTCTTCCTCTTGCAATGTGTCCTTTGTACCTGCATGTTTATAATTTCTAATAAAACTATAAAATATAACACCACAAGATATACATTTGCCGCGCGTTATAAATTGCATGATGCAGATTTAAGAACCATGGGCTGAATGCCCACTAGGGATGGGCAAAAAAACATCGATGTTTTTGTTCCATACAATTCAAATAAATGGTGTGGTCTAAAAAATAATTTGTCAACTTATTGATTTACATCATAATATAAATAAATGCCATGAATTCAAAGTATTTATAAAAATAAATTTGAAAATAGTATGCATGATGCAAAATATCTAAAATACTTAGTACTTATGAAAAAATCAGTAGCAGAAAAAAAAAATTAAAAACTAAATTAATCCATTGAATTATAACTCATCCATGCACTAAAAATGATTATTAAATAAATAGCTTTGATACGGACGCACATCAGGCTTTAGAGTAAGTCTTTTTTCCAACTACACGAATAAAATATATGATACACTGTTACAGAAATAAGTAGGGACACACACACTAAATACACTATTTAAACTATAAAAAAACTTTATGGGAAAAATTGTGAAACTAATTTTATTATGAATTATTTTGTAAATGATTAGTTAATAAACATAATAATAATAATAATTTTAAACATATTTATGGATGAAAATTATTTTTTTTAAAATTGTCTGTTTTTTGGAATGCATTTCCGCTTTATTATTTTCAATATATAGGAAATCTCTTTAGACCTTGGATTTTAGATGCTTTGCGAACACTCCTTTGTACCACTTTTTTTTGTGGGCCATTTACTCGGCGACACGTTTCATTAGATAAAACCGAGGAGCGGCTCCAAAGCCTTGGTTAGGGGAGGTCAAGTTATAATTTTACAAAATTTTATAACAAAAAGAAAACAACTATTTTTAAAAGTGGCAAAAATATCAATAATATGATCTATTTGATCTAGAATATCTACTTTATGATACACATTAATTAGACATAATTCTGATAATCTATCTTCAGTCATCATTGAACGAAGCCAGGTTTTTAGCTTCCGAAGTGTGGAGAAACTCTTTTCAATCATCATACCTCTATGGCTCTATTTACATACTTGTGCTGTCGTATGATATATATTACATACATATTATAATATGCATTTTTTGTTAACAATATGCATTTTTTTATAAATACGGTACGAGTTTGGGGGACACGGCCCCTAGCTCCTCCCCTCTGGAGCCTCTCCTGATAAAACCGCATCTCTTGGGTCCCATAATAATAAAGGTGGCATGTTGAAATGAATAATTATTGTTGTATTTCTCAAGTACCTACACATATTATCTAAGCCAACTGCACATTTTATATTTCCTAATGCACAATTAGTGTCCTACTGCATCTTACAATAAAACCTGTTATAATAAAGCACACACATATATATATATATATATATATATATATAATATTCATAAGCGGACATTTAGTTGAAGTTTTGAGGGGTGAGTATATAATAATTCAATGTAAAATAACCAGCAGGGGCTTCGTCCCCATACCCCTTTTTCGTGCACAATTAAGACTTATTACTATTAAAAATACAGATATGTTTAAATTGTATTAAAAAAAATACTAAATAACGTATATTTAAAAATAATTAATATTTTATTTTAATGACAAATATCTATTTGTATCAGCAGAGATATTCAAAATATCATCGCTTTTTATATTTATCAACATAGGTATAGTATTGAAAGGTCGCTGAACCTTAGCCAAGTTTTTATTTTTTTCATTGCACTAAAACTTCTTTCGCAAGTAGCCAATCTAATTGGTATTGTTAATGTTATTGTAAATAGTATTTTATTATTTCTTATTTTACAATTTTCAAAGAAAAACTAACAGATAATAATAAAAACAACGAATAACATTTCTAATTAAGTTTTGATTTGGGGGAGGGCTAAGCCCCCTGATGTCCAACTATGTATATATTACATATCAGTGGCATATACAGAAAATATTTTTGGGAGGGGCTAGTATAGACAAAGTTAAATTACCACTGCTATCTGAGAATTACTAACAAGATACAATAGGTACTTAACTACATTTTATTTACAAAATGTCCCAAAATGATTTGACGTTGGACGCAAATTCTAAATAAGCATAAAGCACCATTAAAATATAAAATACATACGTTTAAAATAATTTCTAAGTTTTTTTGGAAAAAACATTTCGGGGGGAGGGATGTAGCCCATTAGCCCCCCCCCTATATACACCACTGTTACATATACTTTTTAGAAATATTTTGTCGCCGACTATGGTAACTAAGTCTGGTCTGGAAACGTCTTAATAAAATGTCTAGAAATATCTTATTTTTGTAAGAGCACTCATGATTTTTTCATTAAAAGCTGTTTTTATGTGAAAACACAATATTAATAGAAAAAGTTTTTTAAGCTTTATGTATATAGTACATACGGGTGTGTTTCATAAATTGAAACTGTTTTATCATTATTCAATTACAGTCAGTGGTGTAGATACAATTTTTTTCTGTGGTGGGAGGGGGGTGTTTAAGAGTAAGTTTTTAAGTGTTCTTAGTATATCTTAAAACGAAGTCATATGTAATAATATAACATTTAAAATGGTATTATTTTTATTTCCCGTATTTAATGAAAATTATTTTGTTACTCAATTTTTAATATAAACCTAATCATAGTAAAATCAAAATATTTTACTATAAAATGTAGGTAAATATTAATAAATAATAATCAAATATCATTAAAAAAAAATCTGTGGGGGGGTGGAAACCCCTTACACCCTCCCCGTAACTACGCTACTGATTAGAGTTTACCTAATCAAAATCCGTAGGCTGAATCTTAATAGATTAGAACTTCGATTTTGTGAACAAGAAATGCCCTTATCAATATTCGGGAGAATAGTACCAGTAACCCATTCAACCACGGTTGAAAATACCAAATCAATGGTAAATCTACCATTGAGTAAAAATAATTAATGGTCAGTTACGACAATGATAACGAAATGGGTTCGATTTCGATGAAAAAGATACTGTCGTCATTTCAAATAGAATTTAATTAATATAAATTTAATTTTCAAGTGAACTATTTTTAAATCGTTTTGAGATTATTTAGTTATATTGTTAAAGTATAAGAATAATGTCGAAAAATTTAGGTGAGTGTGTCTAATTCGTTCATTTATCGTGCTTTTTGAAAATAACTACTATAACGTTTTTCACTATTCCTCTAGTGCAATGTCTGCAGCACCCAGATGCTCCGTTGATTGAGGATTATAGAGCAGGTGATCAAATATGTTCTGAATGTGGCCTTGTAGTTGGCGATCGCGTGATTGATGTTGGTTCCGAATGGAGAACATTCAGCAACGACAAAGGTGGCAACAGTGCTGATCCATCTCGAGTGGGAGGTGCTGAAAATCCACTGCTCAATGGTTCAGACTTGTCAACCCTTGTTGGCCCTTCTAGAGGAGATGCATCATTTGATGAATTTGGTGGCATGAAGTACAAAAATAAAGGTATGGTGTGCTCAACAAATCGTTCACTGCTCAATGCATATAGAGAAATCGGTTTAATGGCCGACCGTATAAATCTACCAAGAAATATCGTAGATAGAGCTAATGTGTTATTCAAACAAGTACACGATGGAAAGAATCTGAAAGGTCGTTCTAATGATGCAATTGCCTCTGCTAGCTTATACATTGCTTGTAGACAAGAAGGTGTGCCACGTACATTCAAAGAAATATGTGCTGTGAGTAAAGTCAGTAAGAAAGAAATAGGAAGAGTATTCAAGCTAATACTTAAAGCTTTGGAGACTAGTGTTGATTTAATAACAACTGGGGATTTCATGTCAAGATTCTGTTGCAACTTAGGATTACCAAACATGGTCCAGAGAGCAGCTACTCATATTGCTAAAAAAGCAGTTGAATATGATATTGTACCGGGTCGGTCACCTATATCTGTAGCAGCTGCTGCAATATTTATGGCTTCCCAAGCATCTGATGAAAAACGTTCTCAGAAAGATATTGGGGATATTGCTGGTGTTGCAGAAGTTACAATCAAACAATCATACAAGTTGATATTAGCTAATGCTTCTTTACTATTTCCAGAAGACTTTAAGTTTGTAACTCCAATTTCTGACCTTCCAACATCCTAAGTATTCCTAGTTTATATTTATATTTAACTATATGTAAATTACAAAATTTATAAAAAATTTCTATATGTAACTAATTTCTAAAATTATTACTGTACAATTATTTTTATTAAGGTATGGATTAAAAAACTATGGTAATTATATAAAAGTTTGTTCTATTTTTTATAACTGATTTTGAACTATCTTTAACTTTTGGTTTTTATAAAAGTAAATCTTGTAATACATGATTATTATGAAGGACATTTGAGTGTATTTCTCTAGAGGAAATGCAAAATATAGAATTACACAACTTATTTAATGAATACATAATATATTTTTTTCTATATTTAACTATGTCATATGAATATGATTTATGCAACAAATTAGGACTAGAATAAGAAAATACCAAATTAATTTATTAGTATTGTAAAGGCCTACTAGAAGAATTTATCAACTGACTAGAACAAGCAAGTTAATAATTGATATAATAAACAATTTTATAATAACCTAACCCAAATGATTATTTAGGACACTTGGTTTTTCTTTAAATTGAAATTAAAATATTTTGCTCAGTTTCAAATTTTTAAATACATGAATGATAGATCATTCTAGTTTTAATAATAAATTAATGTAGAACCAGAATATTTCATTCACAATAAAAATTAATTTATTAGAATAGAAAGCACATTATGGTTCAATTTAAACTTTAGTTCCATTTTGAACAATTATGAATCATATTTGTTGCTGTACCAATTTTAAAATAATTAAATTTACTCTTTTGGATTACCTTCAATCATTGAGAAGCAGATAACTAACTTAACATATTACAGTTGAAGTACATAGGTGGTAGGGATAATCAGGAAGTACTTAAATAATGACATGAAAATTTATCAATACTTGCTAATTTCCACTATATATGTGGACTATATATTAAAGAAATTTTCACAATCAATACAAATATAATAAGCATTGATTTTGTGATATTTTTGTAGTAAATCATGTATTAAAAGATATTAGGAAGATTACAAAAAATAAAACCAATAGATCGGGAATAAAATTTTTTATTTCTTCTTTTTTTTGTATATGTATATTATTTTATATTTCTATTATGAAACGCTTTTAAAAATTGGACTTACACTTCACTTGAAAAAAAAAAACAATTCTTTAATTACATTTAAAGGATTAGTATGATTTTACTGAGTTAGCTGTAAGATGTTTTTTACAAAAAATGAAATTATCTATAATTTATGGGCGGGAGTAGAGGGGGGAAATGTATAAAGTAAACAAAGACCTTAAAGTTAATAGTTATAAATGAAAATTATAAAAAAAATCTATATTTAAGTTGAATAAAATGAATAAATAAAAAATTTAATATTAAATTGTTAACATTCTAATAATAACAAGCATACATTTATATCGGCATTATTTTTGCACAATCACTATTTTCAATTACAATTACAAATAAAATTAATCAATTTTGTTCTTATCTGTCTGTCAGACAGTTATATATCATACCAACAGAGGAAATTTTTTTTATATTGATTCTATGACATTCCAATTACATACATGTATATTTGTACTATTTTAAGAAAAAAATGATCAACCCACAATTGAAATACCTACAAATTAATAGCACAACTTTTTTTATTTAGTTGTTAATTATTATATAATATTCATTTAAATGATAATAATAAAAAAATTGACACAGAAAAAACTTGCTTAATACAAATAAATAGCGTACAAGAACTCTCAAATCATTGTTTGGGATAGATTATGACAATTTTTTTTTTTAATATATATAATATAAATAAATTGTTATCTAAAGAACACGACTAATTTAGCAATTTGCATAGTACTCATGAGTTCACAAAACATACAATGTATAGTCTACACGTATATCCATTCGAGTATAAAGTTTAAAACTATTCATTAGCCGCCAAGGGTTTGTCATCTTTACATTCTGTGCTTTGTGGTTTAGAATTGCTATCTATTTTTTCTTCAGCTTTCGAATCAACGTTCACATTAGCATTATCAATTTTGTTGGGTAAAGGCAATTGTGATTCAACAATCAAACCTAGAAAAAAATAAAATAGAATGTATTATTTAAATAAAATAAAATTAAACTACAAACGATAAAAAAAAAAAAAAAAAATAGTAAAAACCTAGTTACCTGTATTTGATACAAAATAGTTATTGGAGGTTTGACTTTTGTTCATTAAGTGTTGCATAGGTGCACAATTAGGTTGCATACGCATGTTTTGTGGAGGAGGCATTCGTTGTATATGTTGGAACGTCGATACTGGCCTTTGGATAGGAGATGGATATTGAGGTGCAATATTTCCAGCCATTGATCCACTATTACTATTATTCATATTCATTCTAGGTTGTTGCATCAGTGGCTACAAATAAAATAATAATTATGTATTATTGTTAAAATTACATACATCAAAAAAATTTACCAATTGATTATTTTGAGATGCAGACACTTGATAGCTACTGTATTTTCCTTGCATAGCCTGATGAGTTTGTTGATTTGAATTCATCAATGGTTTATTAGCTAAAATGTAAAAAACCACATAATAACAGAAATTATTTTTATAAAGAGAATAAAATAATAGCTTACTTTCAAAAAATTGTTGTTGTCTGAATATATTTGAGGAAAACATAGGATTTCCTAAATCTTGTTGGTTAGAGATACCAGATTTTTGTAGGTCATTAGTACCATTTCCAGCAGCTAAATTACCTTTCATGTATGAGATTTGTCGATACTAATAAAATTAATATAAAAAATACTTTGAATAAAAACACTTTTATACATGAGATAAAAGAAATATATTTTATGCACTATTTTTGTTTTATACGTAGAACAGATAAAACAAATCTAATTTTAAAAAGTTGAAAATAAAGAAAAAACAATTAAATGTAAAAAATAATTCATTAATTCAATTTCACTGAAGTAAAGCTCAGTTTTTTAAAATAAAAGTTTCAAATAAATTGATTTGAGTCAACTATTTTAATGCTACATTATATAATTTATACTTTGTGCAACATTAAAAATTATTTATTTTTTACAATAATTGAAACAATTTTGAAATATTAGTTAGGTTAGTAGTAAGAAATTAAGTACACAGTTACCATAAATGTTAAGTTGAGGATACAATTGATAGCTGAATTTAAGAAATATATAATCATCATTAGGGTACAGATGTTGTAATAATAAAATTGATTGCAGTATTGCACTAAAATATACTGAAAATAGCATTTTAAAAAATCTAAAATTGCACTAAAAAAAATTATATTACGTAATATTTCATAAAATTACGTTTATTTATTATTTTTCATAATCTTATTGGTTATAAATATATACTTAAAAATATTGTTGCATATAACTGTAAATAATTTTTTTTTAATTGTTTTTCGGTTTGGAGCCAATAAATTTTTATATTTCATAAAATTTTGTCCTACGTCGGTTGATGGGAACGAAGCGTACTTAAAATAAACTAAATAGCTTACCGTCAAGTCTTCAGATAATGCAGCCAAATTTTTTTTTCTCCAGTCAGTAAAGAATTTATTATACTTATGGTTTTAAATCTAATATAACTTCAATGAATTTTTTAATATTTTTTGTGTTAAATATATTTATTTGTACGCATTTTAAATATGGCAAATCAAATAATCATAGTATGACGAAACCAATATAATTTTTAAAATAATCAAACTATTGTTGTAACTATATATACAATAATATCAATATACAATAAAACATTTAAATAATATACATCAATATATCAAGTACTTCAGATAATTTAACAATTTTATTTCATGGAATTTTAGTAAAACAGTTTAAAAAGTATAAAAAAAAAGACGTTATATAAAAAGTGAAAAAAAAGTTGAAAACTGTATTTTTAGATTTTCATTCGTACCTACACGAAATGCATTTAAAACTTACTTTGCAATAAATTGGAGCAGAAGAAGAAAAGTTGCAAATGTAACAACATCCATGTCCTAATCATCATTATTATACCATATACAAATTTTTAGGTCATTTAAAAGCATAAGTTAATATTTATTGTTATAATTACATTTTATGGGTTAAAAATAACGACTAAATAAATTAGTAATAAATTAAAAAATAAAATTATAATAATTGTGTACAATTTAAAATAAAGCTGAAATTACCTGAGATGTGTAATTTTGCATGTTTGGTGGTGGTGGTGCATTTTGGGAACCAAAAGCAGTTGGAATTCCAAATGTGTTGCCACCCGATGCACCAGCAACCACTTGTGCTTGAAATGCAGAGGCAACATTTGGAATATAACCAGGATTGGTTGGTCCTGCTAAATATTATAAATTTAAATATTAATAAATATCAATTTTTAATAACATATTAAAACTTACTTGCTGAATTAGTAGAATATAATGATGATGAAGACTGTAATGGTGTTGGCCGTGCATTATTCAAAGAATTATATGGCTGATTGAACATAGTTGTTGGATCATACTGTACCATATACTAAAATATAAAATATGATTTTAAAAATAATTTAAGATATTTAAAAAAAAAACTTACAGGTGAAGGTTGAGGTGTTGTTGCATTATATGCAGTCTTATTGCCAATTGTTCCAATTTGCTGTGAAGACTGTTTGACTTGTGAGGAAGAAGAATTAGTACTGCTTGGTAATAATACAGGATTTAAATTTGAATTTATTTGCTGACCATTGTTATATGGCTATTTATAATCAATTATATATTTTAATTAGATGGTTATAATATGAAATAGTATTTTATATTTTATACGTACTGGTCCCATTCGAAATGGAGATATAGAAGATTGAAATACTTCTGAACCACCTTGACCACCTGGTGTAGAGGCATGAATAAACATTGATGGATTATATTGAGGTGAATTTTGATTTAAACCATTAGATTGAAGACCATAAGGAAATTGATTATATTGAGACCGTGTAGTATTGCTTATAACCTATCATTTATTAAAAAAAAAAAAAATAAATAAATAATAATTTTTTAGGAAGAAAAATATGATTATGTATGTATGTTACCGGCAATATAGATAATTCAGGTATTTTGTAAAATGCTTAGGCATTATGCAAATTTCCAAACCATTTTAGGTAATGTAAATAAAACATATGATTTTTAATATTATTTTACATATAACCTAGGTATTATATTATTACCATTATATAAATATTTTACTTAACTACTATTTATTTATTATAACATGTTTTAGAAAAGTGACATTTTGAAGAGCACAAAATATTATTTTTTAGGCAAATACACTTTTTATTTTGACACTTGGACTTACAAACATATTTTAAAAATCCTTAACCTATTCTTGTGGATTCAATTTTTATCAACTTATTATACTGTTCGTCAGATAAAACACTGGTATTAGTGGCCAAATTTTTAAAAAAAATTTGAATAAAAATTTTACTTCATATAAATCATATGCATAGTTGCAACCAAAACAAAACACGAAAATGACGAGAAAAATTACGATATCGTAATAAAATTATTAGTATGTTCAATAATACATATCAGAATTACTATTGTAGTAGTAAGAGGATATTTATCTTTATTGCGTTAAATTGTGAACGCACATTTATGATAAACAAGTTGTTAATAATAGGCGAGCCCAATTTAGTTTGTTTTCTTCATATTGCCTACTCCACGATTGGCATTATACATAATACCTAGACAAAGCTCGTATATTGCGTAGTGATTTTTGGCATTTTATATAATGTCTAGGCATTTTGCAAAATACCGGATTATCCATATTGCTGGTAACATATATAAATAATAAGTTTATAAATTATATTTATGTTTAACATATTTTAATGATGATAATGAACTGTATTAAGTAGTGAATTTATTAATAATAAATTTCTATTTTTATCATCAAGATTTAAAATTATCGACGAATAGATTGTGGGTAATGAACTTTTTTAAGTTCAAAATACAATACAACTGTCAAATATAATTTAAAGTTATAAAATATTAATAACATAAGTTTAGAATGTAATCTACTAAATTCATTAACTAATAAATACGAGCATAATGATCCATTCACCTATTTTACCAAAAAAAGAAAAAAAAATTAAATTTAAAATGGCCAACATACCTCGGGTAAATAATGATTTTTATCATATAATTTTTAAATTATCAAATATTTAATTTTTTTGCTATATTTTAGAGCAGTAAAATCTTAGCTCTATAACACATTATACTGTTCAGTAATGAATTATTGGTAAAAGTTAAATTTATTAGATGTTCATCATTACTCTCTTTTTTTTTTTTTTTATTTTATAACATTTCAATGCATAAAAGTTAAAATTTGTATTGACTTACGGTTTGTGAAGGTTCTAACATCGTTTGATACACTTGTGGTGCTGATGGTGATGGAGGAGGTATTAAATGCTGTTGAGCTGAATTAAACAAAATAGCTGAAGATGGAGAAGGTCCAGGAGCAGCAGATACATATTGTTTAGCTAACATCTCTACACCAGTTTTATTATTTGTATTTAATATTAAATGTGTTTGTTGCTGTTTTAAAATATGAGCACCATACATATCGGGTAACGCATCACTATTATCCATCATTATCTAAAACACAATTAAAAAAGTATTAGAATACATATTTTGTTTAAATCTATATATTATCTTCAAATGTCAAATATATTAAAAAGCTAAACTAATAATTAAATTATTAATACCAAACAAATGAAAAAAAAAAAAAAAAAAAAAAATTGAAAATGTATCATTATTTTTTATTTTGCTATGCAACTAGTAATAAGTATGTTAGAGGAAAAATTTATTTAGCATAATTAAACTGATCAAAATACAATCAAAACTTTAACTTAAATTATTAATAAAAGATAATGTAATTTACTTGTAAGTTCATATGTGTTGCTTGTGTTGGAATAGTATTTGCAAGTGGTGTAGTAGAAGTATGTGGTTGAGGTGTTGTAGAACTGAATACATGAGTACTTGTAGACTGTTGTTGTGGTTGTTGAGGTTGTTGTTGTTGTTGTTGTTGTTGACTCAATGGAGGCGACAGTGTACCCTGCGGTTGAGGTTTAACCTTGAGAAATATCAAAATATTATAAATGATATATTACCTTATTGACAGCCAAGAAATTACCTTGCATACGTTTGTGGTAGCAGAATTTGGATCTTGTTTTAGTTGACCAGCAGCAGCCATTGATACTGGAATGTATGAACCAGCAACATTTTGTAATTGAGGGGCAGGACTAAAATTTTTTAATTCACAAATATTTGATTAGCATAGAATATATTATTTTAAATTTTTTGTACAGGGTTATACAATAAAAGTAATGTTAAAAAGCAGCGATGAACAAATATTAAAATTTACGTGTTAGTTACAACAAAAAGTGTCACGTACCAAAGTACATACCTGTACACTTGCTGGTTATGAACTCTTTGTTCATCAATAACAGAAATTTCAGATTTATCATGTTGTCCACTACTTGCAGTGCTATAAACTGTATTAAAAGCATTTTCAGCAATATTTTGTTGGACTTGTTGATTAGACTCAGGTTTATCATCCCATACCTTCAACAGAAAAAAAAAACATTTATATTTAATTTAACTACAAATGTTTTTATATAAAATGTTAATTCAAAATAATAATACAATAAAATTGGGATTGGAAATATCCTAGAAAATTATCAAGCTAAGATTTAGAAATGCAGAACACAAAAGAATGTATAAAACCATTAATAAAAATAACTATAATTACAATAATTTACATTAAGAACCAAACCATAAAATGTTTGTATATAATTTTTATTACAATATTTCAAATAAACTATCGCTACATTTCGCACATTTTTTCTTTCTTTATTAATAATATACACAATTGGCATAATAAGACTATGAACTAAGTTAACAAAAATCAATTGAAAAATGTTGGTTGAAGAAGCCACCCAATGATTAGACTTTCATTTTTAACTATTATTTTAATTTATAAAATTTATCTTTTTTTTTTTTGTTTGTTGTTTGTTTTGGATTAAGGATTTAGTAGGTTTCTGCACTATATTTATAAGTGCGATTGGATGACAGTTTAGGTGTAGGTGGAACTGTTTATAATAATTTTTTGCCTAATACCTATAATTTTTCTTTGTATTTTATTTTGAAACCTCAGAATTTTATTTAAATTAAAAAATGTTTGCATTGCCCTATAGCTATAGGTCGTATGTCCAAATTGGCTTTAAGAAAGATTTGTAGAGAAGTAATTTAATATTTAGTTTTGAGCATTTGTTGTTGACGATTAGGGTTTTGAGTATTCATAAGCAAGTTAAATTGTAATTTTTTAGCTTTGATGTGATGAGCCCCGGTAAGACGGCAGTCTAGGGTTAGCGCGAGATATTTAACAATAGGAGATGGGGGATTCAAGTACAAAAGTGTTACTTCTGGACATGGTACTAATTTAAGTGTAAATAAATGTAATATGTACTGATTTGGATTAGTTTATTTCAAAAAGCTACTTTTTATACCAGATGGTTTTATAGGTTTATGGAGGCTATAGTAGGATCTAAACTGGATGATACTATGACTTTGTTGCCCACGTAGTCAGCTAATAATGTGTTGGACGTGGTCGGTTGGTCAGATGTATGGATATTGAACAGTATTGGGGAGAGGATTCCACCTTGTGAACACCTGCCACAATTCCAGCTATATTAGAGTACAAAGAACCATAATGGACTTAAGTATTGGTCTGCGAGATATGATTTAAGTATAACGTAGTATGTTGGGTGTAAAAATTTTTTTAATTTGTATAGCAGATCTTTATACCACACTCTGCTGAAGGCCTGAAATACTTCAAGGAATGCACAGGTACAGTAGTTATTTTTTGGAGGGCAAAGTAAATAGCGTCGACAACTCTATGGACTTGATGAATAATCGAGTGTTGAGCACAAAAACCAAATCGATGGCCTGGTAATATTTTTTTTTTATTTAACATGATAGGAAAGAAACATTTAAAAAAGTTTTTCTAATATTTTGCTGAAAAACAGCAATAAGCTGATTGGTCTATAAGAATTTAAGGAGTCAGTTAGTTAATTTGATTTTGGGATTAGAATGATTTTAAAAAATTTCCAGAGAAGGGGGAAATAAGAGTCTTTGGGTTGCATTGAAAATGTGTGTAAGGAGGGCGATAATACATTTTGGTAAGCATCTGGCAACTTTCACTGTAATTAAATTGAATCCTGGGGATTTCATAAGTGAGTATTTTTGTATAGTAAATTTTACGCACAGGGCGTTAAGTGTTTGACTGGTAAAGATACCAGGAGAGAAGAGTCTAGATACTTTTGTAGTGTTTGTAGTAGCTCGTGAGAATGTTTCAGGATGAGATTGAAAAAATATAATAATAAAGATGATTTTTAAATAGTTCTGCTTTTTCAACATTAGAAGAAGCAAGACTAACATCTGGATTTTTTATTGAGGGGGGATGAAACTTTGTATTGGAGAGCATGTTTTATTTTCCTCCAAAGACTCCCATATTTGGTCTACAAGTTAGTTAAGTGATTTGCAAATGAATGCACACTAATATAAATTAAATAAATTATATTTAAATTGATAATGAATTTTAGATGTATAAATAATGAACAATTGATGGATAAAACAAATATATGAAGACATATAATAACCTTTTTAGTGCCAGCAATCATGGTTTTTAAATCACTTGCTGCTAATGATGATGGTCCAGTATGCATTGATCTAGAATGTGATGTCATGGCCATAACGTCTTTGTTTTCCGCAGATAAATGACCACCATTATGAGTAAAATCAGACTCAAAGTCACCAAATCCAAGATTCAAATCAGAATTTTCATCATTCTAAAATAATAAGAATATATTATGCATATAACAAATAAAACTTATAATTTAATAAAAAAAAAAAAAAATTAAAAATATTCAACTAAAACAAGAAACATTAATTGTATATAATGTTTAAAAAAATATTGAGCAATAGAAAATTGCTGGATTATAAATACATTCAAAATCACAGAACATTGTGTACACAAATAAATTTTAAAAATAGGATTTCAGAAATAAATTATTGAGACCTTTAAAATATAAAAATAAAATACTAATTCCAATGAGTATTTGAATAGAAACAACAAACATAGCAAAATAAATTTAATTTTTTTTTATCAAATCCTTTAAAAATACCTTAAAGCTCATTGACATTTGAACGGCTTCGTTCAATTTAGCATCTTTATTATCATTATTTGAAGATTTGAATGCTCTAAAGCAAGTTTCTTGACTCTCTTCATTAAAGTTACAAGTTTCTAAAAAAAATATATTTTATCAATTATTTAAATAATTAATTATTAAAAATAAAGAAATTTTACCTTTATCATTGCGCTGTTTAATATTTGAGTTATATTTATTTTTAGATTCTCCACAAGGTTTAGATTTGTAAGTGGTATTTTCAAATATAATTGTTTTCATTCGTTGAGAAGAATCAAGAATACCATTTTCCATGACCTTATATAAATGATTAAATAAAATATTATAATATTTAATTAATTAAATAAATATTTATATACAGGAGATCTGGAAGTGAAGTAATTATTTTAAATATTTAGGTATTTGAATATTCAATCTTATTCTACAAAACTAATGATGAAAAATATTTTCATAAAACACAAAATTAACTAATTAATAATTAAAAAGCTACCACAAATTTTTATTACTTAAAACAACAACAGTTACACTAAAAAAAAAAAAAAATCAGTTTTAACATAAAAGCCTTCATACATTTTCTTTAACTATATGAAATCATAAAAAAATGTCTTTATCAAATGAAGAAAATGGTTAGTTTTAAAAATTGTAAACACATTTCAAATAGTTTTTAGTAAATTATCTCTTCAAGGTTTTTCAGTTAAATAATTATTCAAAATATATATAAATTGAAATTTAATAAATCAATTTTAATAAATATACATACATTAGGGGATCCTTTTTCTTTATTTGAATTTAATCTTTGAGTTGTTTGTCCAGGAATTTCTTTAATTTCAGTTAAACTAAAACATAATGTGTTACTTGTTAAAAAATAATTATTTCAATAAAATTATAAAAATAATAAAAAATCAATTAAAAACTATCTTGAATAAATATAATACCTGTTGGCTCGGTTATTGGATTGAGGAGCAACCGCCTTATTTACATTAGGCGATTGCGCTCGGAGTGCATGAGTTATTGGTTTGTCCCAAGCATTAGTTTGCGGAGGAGGCGGGGGATTGTTGCTAACCATAACTACAGCATCTGTTATAACAATTGATAATTAAAAATAATATTTTATTAAATAAAAAAAAATCATTAACCCTATTTAAACATACCTTTAATAATGGTTGCATTTGAATCATCTTGACTAATTTGAGGTTGGCTTTTTTGTCTTTCATACCTCTGATTAGTTTGACCAGGCTTGACCATATTACTATTTTGATTAGAACGGGACGATGATTTAGATAAATCTTTGCGATTACTTTGATTACTTAAACGTTGATTTTTTTGCTGCGAATCACTTAATTTTCTCTGTTCATCTTTTTTATTGGATCTTCCATCCTGAGAAGAACTTCCTAAAATAACAAATTAAACAAGAAATAATAACACTGATTAAATTGTAATGGTTTATTAAATATATACCTCCATAGTTATTTTTAGAATCATTAATTGAAGTAGTTGAGACTAACTTCTGTCCGGACTTTTCATTACTACCAGATTCTTTAGGTTGATCTTTTTTATCATAATTTGGTCTTTTTTCTCCCCTTAAGTAAAATATAATAATTACAATTTGTTTTAAATTAAGAAATCACAAAATTACCTTGAAGATGACAAATATGTACGACTGCTAAGTCTACGATTACTACTTTTTTGTTGAGCTTCATAATCACTAGGTTCGCTAACAGATTCCCAATTATTGTCTTCTTGTTTTTGACTACCAATAGATCGATTATTAGGCCTTGAACTGAATCGGGTTTCACCACTTCTACGGTTTGTATCCCCTGACATTCCGTATGTATCCATTTTAGATTGTGATTTAGATGAAGAATTTTTATTTCGAATGGATCCTGAATTCGAACTTGATTTGTTGTTTTTATCAATACTTTCATCAATGCTATTTTTTTGACCACTGCGTCCATTTATAACGCGGGATTCCATAGTACTTAAACGTCCTCTTCCTCTTTGTTCAGATCTTTGACCATAACCACGTAACGATTTTTCAGAATATCGATCATTTTGTCGGTTACTGCCTCTATTACGATCATCATTTCTATTTCGATCATCTCCACGATTTCTGTCATCCCCACGATTTCTATCATCATTTCTGTTACGATCTTCACCACGATTTCTATCTTCACCTCGATTTCTGTCATCACGTCGAGATGGACCTCTTGTTCTTTGACTTTCTTCATAAGAATCTGGCCATGCATTTTTTCTATTTGATCCAGACCTGGAAACTGTTCGAGAATTGATACTCTGATGATATGAACGTAATCCAACATTGCGGTCAGATCTCATTCCTTTATGATGAGATAATGTAGAAGTACCAGAATTTTCTAATGAAGATTTTAGGTCTAAAAATATGTTTACTTAATATTAGTTGCTTCTACTATGTTTCTACTTTCTCCAAGTAACAGGAGCACCTCGCATAGCTCCCTTCTCCCTTACCAAAATTGTGATCGAACCACTTACTAAGAAAAAAACTAATTCAAATATAATTTAAATAATCTAGATTGGATAAAACTCATTCTTCAATTTCTATTATATACTTAAGGATAATTATAAGGCTTATATATGGATCATTAAATTGCATCATCCAAATGAATAAAAATCAACTACTTCACCAGTTTTGCTGATTATTGTTGAAATTATTTGAAATATTTATCAAATAATTTAAATAATAACTTCTGCGCTCCTGTTTCTTGATATGACTAAAAATTTTTTTAAATTAAATTTTTAAATTAATATTAGAGTATATACCTGATGATTTAATGTCTTCTTCATTTTTTTGACCACTTTTACCACTTTTTACTTCCTGATCAAGCTTTGATTGATTATGATCTTGTAACATTTTATTTTTGTTTGTTGGAGCCAAATCCCAAACACCAGATTTAGCTTTAGTAGATAAATCATCACCCTAAAATATTAATAAATGGTTATTGCTTCATGTAAAAATTTAATTTTATATATATATGCATTAATGAAATAATAATTCTAAGAAATAAAAATAATGTATCAACTCAAACATAAAACTTATAAATGAATTGGTTAAATGATAAAAATGTAATACATTTATATAATTTATTTAATACATTGACTACTTTGAGGGTTATTTTGGACCCCTAAGTAGAATTTTTAAGTGGGCCATGAGAGGTCATTTTGTTTGTCATTGTAGACTCAAAGGGTTAATAGCCCTTCAGTTGCTGTCTAAATATCAAACATAAAATATCAGATTCTCTGTTATCAGCTAATCGAAATTTTCCACTTAGATTTAAATATTTACATTTTTTGTTAGTCATTAATTTAATTTAGTTTGATTATTTTTACTTTTTACATATTAAGTTTTAATTTATATAATTCAATTTTCTCTTAAAATAAATTATAAAAACAATATTACTGACTATTGCAATATGTCAGTTGATACTGAAATATCACTATATTTACTATCAATAATGCTTAAGGATATTTTAAATTTTTGTTTTCGTAAACTTAATTTTTTTTTTTTAATGAACATTACTCAGTGGGCGAATACATTTTCAGATGAAGGTTAAGTCAAAAATTACATCAATGATGAATTAAATGATCCAGGTTTAAAAATACCTGATTTACAAAACAGAAGCAATTGAATGGCGAAAATGAAGATAATGAATGGGTCTGCGAGAAAGATAACATTGATTAAAGAACATAATATTATTTTACTTTGGATACTAGAATATTGAAATGGGGTCCAGTTACTGAAAACTTAAATGACATACCATATAACTTAAACACTATTTTGTAGGAATACATTTAACTTTATATTTACATAACATTTATTTTTAATTTTATAATAGTTATAATAATTCTTTTTGCAAATGAGGTTCAATTTGACCCTCCACATTCTAAAGGTGAAATAACATATGAAATGATATATAAACAAGGCCTGTAACTAAGAATCATTAAAACAAATTAGTTGGGATTCAAAAAAAAAAAAAAGTTATAAGGCATATGGATAACACACTGAAAATGGAATGCAGTCAAGGCGTTAAAAATTTAGAATAGAAATAATTAACACTTGCTTGATCATTTTTCTTTGAATCCTTTCTTTCACTTTTAACCAACTGGTTTAAATTGCGTTTAGGTTCGTTAGTTAATTCACAAGCTTCAAGTTTTTCTTGAGTAATAGGACCTGGTATATATTTTTTACTCTAAAATAAAATGAGTTAAAATATTTAATAAAAATATGAATAAAACTATCAGATAAAAATAAGTACTTACATATTGACCTATTAAGTTTATATCATCCTTATAGTAATCTGTGTTAAGAGATTTCTGTCCCCAAGAGTACGATTCATCATCAACTTGCCTAAAAATAAATGTAAAATAAAAGATGTTTGGTTTGTTAAAAAAAGTTAAGTGCCCAGTCAAAAAGTGCAATATTCCCAAGGACCACAATTTACATGTTTCAATTTTTTTTTTATAGATTTATTATTCACCATTTTGATTTAAATAGTAATTATTATGATGAAATGATTTCATTTAATAGTTGGCTTTTGTTTAGGATTTATAGAGGGCAATTATGATTTTTTCAAGGATAACAAAAAAGCAGTAATTAGGTTAGGTTACAGCTGATAATATTTAAGACGATGTATGATAATAAGTTAATTTTCATGCTCACAGTATACATACATACATATATATATATATATATAAAATTCAACAAGTACTTTATTGTATATTTATTTTGATACTAATTTCTCAACGAAAAAATAATTATAATCACCAATTATTAGTAAAGCACAACATTAATCCAAGAACACTGATACAAGATATTTGTTTATTGTTATTAGTTTTGCAGAAATAAATACAATATGGTAAAAAATATATAATAAAAACATAACATAACTCTCAAAACTTACAAATTGTCTTTTTCAATTTCCTCTGGAGTTTCTAACGAATCTCGAGAATGATACTTTGACACTTTTTTATCAGTATCATAACTATCATCACTGGATTTCTTTATATTACTTCCAGATTCCTATAAAAAAAAAAAAAAATTATATACAATGAAATGAATTAATTCTTCACTGATAATACAAACATTTCTTTTGAAGTCACGTTTGTGGTCAAACATTTTTCTATTATCATCAGTCCTAGAAGAATAATCAATGTGAGCATATTTATCATTTTTATCTTTTGGATCTGAACGAGCTTTTTCTCTTCTATATCTGTTAAAAATTAATTTTAAGTTAAATTTATTCGAGAACAAATATATTGTTAGTTACAACCAAAAATATTTCGACGATTATTGACAGTTAAATAAATATTTTTAACATTTGAATATTAAATAAAATGCAGTACAAACCTATCAAAATCTGAACGCTTATCACGTTTTTGACTTGACGTTTTATTTATATGATCATCTTCAATCCATGAATCACTTCTATACTCTGAATATCCACTACTACTCATATCACTGTCAGTACGACTAAGTGTTTTAATACCTTCTGTAAAATAATATTTAAATACTTTATAAATTTAAAAATTAAAACTTTATCAAAAATTAAATATACTTGAAGAAATATTTTGAACTTTATTAGTTATATCACTATTTGGTTCAAACTGTTTCTGCAGTCTTGAAGAAGCATATTTGTTCATTTCTTTATTGTCATTAGATTCATCGTTCATATCTTTTGATAGTTCAGAACGAGATTTGAGAGAATCATCTACGAAATCTTTATTCTGCAACAATAACATAAAATAATTTTAATTTTATAAATAATATTTTATTATTTTAAAATTAAGATGGATAGGATAGTCTTATTATGTATTTAACTATGTATTTAGTGGACATAAATATTTACAATAATTTGACTTGATGAATTGTCTTACATCATTGTTTTAAAAATTACCATTTAAATATTAAATACAATATTTACTTTATGATCACTATTTTCTCCATCTAATTTTTTAAATTTTGTTGCTTCTAATTGTTGTTGCATTTCAAAACGTTTCATTTCTTCTAATTTTCGATCTTTAGCACGTTGTAGAGCAGTAGTTAACTCTTCATTTACACGGGCTCTACCCAAAGATTCATCATCATAATCATCATCAATCTGTCGATCTTCCTAAGTTTAAAAATTAAATAATGAGTATCCATAGAACACAAGTAATTTAAAAAAAAAATCTAACTTCATGTAATGGTAGTCTATAGTATTGCATGTAATCTGTATTATAAGGAATACCGTTGATGTTAATAGGCATAAATATACCTTCCTATAAAAAAAAAATTGCCATGAACTTTAATTTTCTTTCTTAAACTTATACTTTACTTACCTTTACATTTTGAGCTAAGCTTGGATCACTATTAACAGCTTTATTTGAATAACCTTTTGCATCAGATTTACTTCTAATATCTCCATTTAATGATTGTTTTTTTAATTTTTCGTTTATTTGGTCTTCATCATCACTAAAGTCTAATTTTTTACTGTAAAATAAATCAATATTTAAAAATAAATATACTATAATACTTATATATACAAAATCATTACTTATAATCAATTTCCCCTTGTATAGACCATCCAGCTTCTTTTGAAAGTTCATTCATTCTTTTTAAATCTTCTTCACTTATAATTGGAGGAGGTATTAGTTCTTTGATATCTGCTGAAGGTTTATTAAGGGCACCATCATTAGACGATGATGCTGATGTATGATGCAAACTTTTTTCTGATTGATAAATATGTTGTTTGGGATGATGTGTTACAACATTATCAGATTGATTTGAAACCATCTAGTAATTATAAAAAAAAAAGTATAAATATGGAATTTCGAAAATTATATATTAAAAATCTTACAAATGTAGGCAACATGTTTCTCATAATTGGATTTTTAGTCATGTTATACTGCATGTGATAAGGATTCAGGCCGGCCGGGGCCCCTGCCACCCCATTTTGGACCAAATTGCTCCGTACGCCATTCACATTTTCTGTCCCTTAAAATTTATATTTATACAAGACATGTTTATTTCACTAACACATTACAAATATTAATAGATTAGCTAAATTTTATTAATTACACACAAAACTAGTATTTCAGTTTTTACTATTTTAATAAAGTAGAAGTATAAAAACAATGATTTTTAAGTTATAGTTTCTTAAGTAAATTAAAATTTGTTAATTATATGATGATAAATACATAGGTTATGTAATTACTAATTGCTAAAAGAATTCTATCAAAAAATAATATGTATTTTAGTTTTAAATATTATTTAACCTAACATTTAAAGATTAAACATATTCTAAATTACAAGTTTTAATTGTATAACATATGTACTAAAATTAATGCATTAGGTTAAATATATTATATGTATTTAGAATTTTAAAGATACATAATACCATAAATAAAAATATAATCCTAAAATGTACATACCGGAAGATATTTGAGAATGAAGGGTTTGACCTGGAGTTCCAGTAACACTGCCACCACCTTGAGGCATTTGGGGACGACTGCCACCTTGCATCCAACTTGTTTCGGCTAAGATAAATTAAAAATGAGTCAATTTATAAATTCTAAAAAAAATTATCTTACTTTGTGGACGAAGAGAAGGTCTCTGTTCTGTGTTGGCCTGTGTAGGTGTATTCGTAACGATTATATTTTTGTGTTCTCCACTTGAAGTAAGACTTGGAAATTCTTGTTGGAATAGCATTGTACGATGCGCTAGATATGTGGGAGCAACTGGAACATCCACAATTTTTTTTGCCCATGTTTTGTTGTCGGCATGAGAAGGCTATTAAACAAAATACATATAATTTATAAATAAATAGTTTATATAAATAAATAAACGGTCAGTCAAGATTTGATTAACTTTGTATATACCCTATGATGAATTTTAAATATATTTTTTTATTTATTTATACATACAACATTCATTAACAAGTATTAATTATTTACTAATTTTATTTTTTTATTTTATTTAAATATATATATTTAAAATATTGTTTTCTGGTTAATTGATATAGGCAATAAATTGACATACCCTCGCTGTGGTAGTAGTCACTTGTACGGAAGTAAGATGGGACGAAACATGTTGTTGTCCCAGTACAGGCCCACTTTGGGACTGTTGAGATGTTGTCGTGGCAGTTGATGTTGGCGGTACCTCTTTGCCCGCAACCTAAAAAATATTTAATAAAAACCAGTTGGTTAAATTTTTCATAAATATAACAAAATAAAAAAAATTACCACAAGTGATTTCTCTGCAGTTTGTTTGTTTCCCCATCCTGGACCACCAATAGGGACTAAATTAATTGAAGACTCATGGCTAGATTCGGATTTTTCACTTGGCAAATTAACAGGGTTACGAATATTGCGGATAACCTTTCCGATAGGTTGTAATCCATTTTTACGTGTGGCTATGTTTTTATGATGATTACCTTCAGCTGATTCTCCCTAAAACACAAATAAGTTTTTTTTTTTTTAAATTTATGTTAACTACAACTACATAGCTAAAAAATATAATAAATAATAAAAATATTTCACTTACCTTATACAGATTATTTATTTTGAATGATTGAAATGCGATCTTTCCTTTGCTTTTCTCCCCCTTCAAACTGACCCCTGACAATGTAGACATACTGTCTGCAAGGCACCATTTAGATTATACACTCGCCCGTAGAACGTACCTTTAGTCTGCAATACAAATACATTTTTTATATTTATTATATTAATTATTTACTCAGTTGATAGTTAAATGTAATAAATCCTAAATATCGCAGATTCTTTTATTTTGTTTTAACCAAAGTATGCATTTTGTATTATTCATACAGATAAATTTTAACTTTAACATTTTGTTTAACTTAAACAAAATTTGTTAGGTATACAAATATAATAACTTTATATGAATAATAGAAATTAGTTATAACAGTATCATGAGGATCAGTAAAAATGTAATTTTTCATTATATAAATAATTGTAAATAAATTTTACCAATTAAACAGTTAAAAAAAAAAACAATCTATATTAAATGAGAAATTTTTATAATTTTACCTGTTTCGATGAGTTAAACATTGATTTAACATATTTCTATTTTTAAGTAATTCTTAAGTATCTATGAATATATTTAAGTTAATTAACAACCTTAAGAATTGTTTTGTTTATGATAGTAAATATCAGGATAAGAAAATAAATAACAATCACTCAAGAGTTTATACATACAATTAGATTGATACAAATATTAGTACACATTAATTTGAACAAGAATCCAATATTGTTACACATATTTAAACTATACAATATTTTTTTTTACTTAGAGATAGTTACTGTTCTTACTAAATACTATATATTCTTCGTTTATTTTCAAACATTAAGTGAAGATTTTTTTTTTTTTAATTAACAATTATTAACACATGATCTTAATATCTGTAAGTATCGATTAAAATATTTTTAATGGGAATATAAATAATAATATAAAATTATAAAGTTAATAATTCAAATTTAATATAGTTATAAAATAAAAACTTTAAATCTACTGAAATATTGTGATAAACTTTAAATTTATAATTATAGTCAAGAACCAATCAGGCTTAAACTAATTAGATACTAGAAAATTAGTTTGACTTTGTATTGACTTTAAACTCCCTTATAATACGTGATACAAATCCAATAAAATATTTATATATAGCTATAATAAAAATAATGATAAAATTACGATACAACTAGTACAATTTACGTCAAAGTTTAAAATTTTTTAACCTAACTATATATATAAAAAAATAAATAAGAAACAGTAATTAAAAAACTATTAATTAGATAGGTATATACAATAGTGTAATTTTATTTACAAAAATCAATATAAAAAATAAATTGCTCTCATATTTTAAAATGTAAAGAATGTCATTAACACTTTTTATGAGAGTCCTTGACCTTTACATTTTTTAATAAGGAGTTCCAAAATAATGGAATGAATTTCAAAAACAATTATGTTAACTTAAAATTAAATTAAAATCATGTATTTTAGTAGGCATCTAAAGAAAATATAGGAATTTTAAATTTAAATATATACTTGAGAATATAGGTTAAAAATGTAAGGATGTTTATAATAAATGAATATTATAGATAACAGATAACTAAAAAATAAAAATTAAATTCAAACTTTCAACTTTTATACACAACTATTAATTTTTAAATATGTATATTATAAATAATGTAAAACAACAAAGAAGTTAGGTAGAATTCATTTTAAGAATGATAATTTAATATTTAATCTCATGAACTTAAAAGGTTTCAAAAATTATTCAAATTGTCAATAAAGATTTAATATCAAAATAAATGTCAACAAAACTTAACCAGAAAATGATTATAGTATATAGTGGTATAAAATAAGGAGAGAATAGAGTTTTTAATTTAACCCTCTCCATTGCTAAAATCCTAGTTAGGAAATAAATAATAATAAAAATAATTATCATCTAAATATATAAAACCCCCCCCCCCATAAATAATCTTTACTAATACCCTCATATACATATATTTATAAATGTAATATTATTATAGTATATTATTTATATTTGTAGTATTAAATAGTATACTTAATTTTACTAATAATTGTATACTTAGCTGAAAAAAAAAATAAATAAAATTATAAATAAATGCACAGTTGAATAACTAAGTTATAAGCTATTGATATATTATTGAACTTAGTTGTACATATACAAAGCAATTAATGATAAGTATTTAACTAAGAACAACTCTTGATATTTATAGAAATGTACTCTAGGGGTGCAATGACTCAGGAACAATGTTTTTTCAAGTATTAAGATATATAAAGTATGATTGACAAAAAGGATATTATTCTACACTAAAAATACTCAAAACAAACGAAAATCACACTAAGCGTATAATCTACAGTTTAAATTTAAATGGAATTACAGATCATCAACTATTCGTAAAAACCCCAGTATTGATTCCTTTAACTTTTTTAACCACTAGCACAACAGCCTTACACTATTATGCTTAAGTAAACATGCATACGGACATTCAGACTACAGAAGACACTCGAGATCAAATATGTGTTGTGTGTCTGTACAGGAACATCAAATTGTTGTGATGTATGCGTGGAATTAAGAGTCCGAGGACTCGGAGGTTGATTATCACACATTATCCGGGGACGCGGAAAAAAAAGGGTGTAGCGATTAATAGATCTAAAGAGTCATTGACAGGTTGGGTTATAGAAACCCGGAAATGTGGCAACAAATGCACCGTGTGCGTCTGCAAACATTGAGACCGGTCGACCGATCAGCCATAGAGATGGCTTGAAAACAATGGTATTTCTCGGTGAGTCACAATGTCTTGTATCGGCGAGTTGAACTATATTAAAACTGTACTCACTTAGGTCCGTTCGAATGGGTGCACTTGTGACAATTGAATAATATCACTTGAAAAAATTTATTTACAATTAACTGGTGCGAATAAAAAACTAATACGAAGCGAAATCCAATGCGAAATTGTCTTCTTTTTTATCAAACATCACATCGAAAACACAAAATGGCGTCTTTAGTATTGGAAACCTTCATTCACCACATTTTTGCGTTGTGCCGCTCGCCCGCCACGCCTACAATCTCGATTCTCGAACGAGAACGCAGTGCCGGCGCGACCGGGGATTTTGTTGGCGACGGGAATTTTTGTGCCACTAAAGCAGAACGTTGTTTATTTCCGTTTTATCGACTCGATTTTGGAATTTGCGGAGCACTCTCATGCGCATAGACCTATTAACTAAATAGTATTTAATTAATAGGACTGTGCTCACGCACTTGTGACGTGTAATGATAATAATAATAATAATAATAATATTATTATAATAATAGTTCACGGTTCATGTACCTGGACATTAAAATGCACTGACGAAAATAGTACGCGAAAAATATTTTCCTGAACAACAACAATACTAACACTCTATTAAGCCTTCCAACGAAGAGTATTTCGAGAAATATTGGTTTACCCTCAGTCTTTTAATGTATATATGCGACCATCGGTTGTTCGTCGTCGTAAACAAGACTTATCGCGTTTGATACGCTCAAAACGGTTTTTGTTTATATAGATTTATATAGTTATAGAACTTCGGGAGTGATTCAGAATGAGAAGCAGGAAAGCGATGACGAGAATAAATATTCCATCGGGGTGGTGAAAACGATGACGGCGTTGACCCATGGCCAACGTCGACGGCCTTTATTGCGCGTCCTTTCCGCATCCGACGATCATGACCACCCCCACCCCACCCTAAAATGGTGTGCCGTTCGCCCCTCAAACATCACGTCGGGTGAACGACCTTCGAGCCGCACAAACCTGTGCGCACCAACAACATGCACTATAGTTATTGTCACTATTACATTTGTACGTACGTGTATACGTAAACTTCATTCGAAATAATATATTATTATTATTATTATTGTTATTAATATAGAATCACAAACATTGTCATGAACGGTAGCGGTTTTTGTTATTTTATCTGGAGGGGGGGGAGTCCTTTAACTTTATCTTATAATATATGAAGACAAAAAAAAATGTTTAACATATTAATAATTTATTACTTAAAGTTTTCAGATGTAATTCTTACACTAAAAAAAAAAACATAGCATACTTAGCATTTTAGTTACAAGACAAAATATATAAAATATAAAATATAATATATCACAACCTAAACGTGTTACCTGAGGGGAAGTCCAGACCCCCTGGACCCCCCATAAAACTGCCATTGGTCATGTAATCACTTATATACCACGATGTTTGACAACACGTGATATATTAGTCAATGCTCGACTTGGAAAAATTAAAGAAGAGGGACTCTATTTACTTTAAAAAAAAAGAGCGTCTTCAAAACTTGTTAAGCGTTATAATTATAACATAATAATCGTAGGGGGACGCTAAAATTTTTGAAAATTAGTTGGGGTACTCCGTCCCCTTGCGTCCCCCCCTTAATTCGATGTATAATACATTGTAGTAGCATGAAAAAACAGGCGAGAATTATGTAACCGCGTTGAGTGTAGGCACTGCATGTAGACGCGTAAGGTTATAACGGAGGTAAATAAGGAATACTGGTTCATGTTTATAATCTCATAAATTACTTCGTTCACTGTACAGCATCATGACTCCAGAGAGTTCTTTGTCTTATCCGTATAGCCGTATAGGCAGTGCCGGGAATATATATATATATATATATATATATATGTATGTATACACAAAAAGTTAAAACATAGTTAAGATTGTTTAATTAATATATATTTATAAACATATTGTAACATCGGTAATTTTTAAATGTATAGACCTTAGTAGGTACTAAATATAAACATTCGAATACAAATTTATTCGATATTAAAAATTTACAACTATTTTTTAGCTTTCTGTGCAGCAAACTCTTTAATAATATCATTCCATATATACATTTTAGGACATTATTCTCAATAGACATTAGAGCCAATGATTTTATATTTTCATTAGATAATTATGTTCTCTGGTAGTTCTCGACTATTTTTAAAATTGAGAAAAATTAATTTAAATATTTTTAAAAGGATCTTTTTTTCGCTAGCATTTGAACATAATATAGATACAAAAAGTTTTAAAACTATTTCCACAATAGGAAATGAATCGTTTAGATTTAATGTTGTTAATGCTTCAAGAAAACTATGCATAGATAATTTTTCATCTTCTGAAAAATATTTTATTATTATTTTAAACTATATAATCTCATTCTCAAGGTCTTGTTACAAAACTTTACTATAAATATTTACTAATTTCTTTGATTTTTCTCATAAAACATCATCGTCAATTCTTTCAACATTAAAAAAAAAAAAACTAAACAACTCATTTATTTCAATATATGCACTTTTATGATCCTTTCACTCATATTGATTGAAAATAAAATATTAAGTACGTTTGTTTTTTAGTCAATCGTGATTCGTGAATCGAATTCAACAACGACGATAACTATGACCATAAGATTCAAGAGAGATATAATAAAATAAATTAAAAAAAAAAAGCTTAGACAATTACCTACCTATTTTTTTTTATCTAATCACCGTTGAGATCAATACATTTTTTCATGTGGTGTACCTTCTTCTATATGCCACAGTCGTAGAACTCTTCCGACGCTTCACGAAGATAGCTTAAAACTTCTTCTTTAAGTTCCTCTTCCGGTTCGAAATGCGTCCCACTCAGATGTTTCTTAATTTCATAGAAAATATGGTAGTTACTATGCCCGGGCTATAGAGTGTTGGGTTAATATTACATATAAACTATGGTCTATATGTTTTATTATATACTAAGGATGTAATAAGTGGTTAGATAATGTAATGAACGTAATATCCTTTCCTTTGTTTACTCACAAAAAGTTGAATCAATGTTTACTTTTTCCTGTACACTTGTAATGATTAAAATGTTAACGTAATATTTTGATAATGTTTTGTTATATAATTTAAAAATATTGTAAATAATATAAAAATAGATTAGTAAAGTTTTTTTGAAAATATACAATAGAAAGCTTATAAGTCAGTGTACTGTGATAGAATCAGTAGCGTATTTGAGGGAGGATTGCCCCCTCCCCCCGAGAATTTTTAGACCCAGACAATTTTTGGACAAGTAATGGTTATTTTATTAAGAAACAAAAATTATAAATTATTTTATAGTATTACTACATTCGAGAACGTTTCAAATTTTATACTAATTTAAATAACGCAAAACGTTAAATTTTTCATAACGTTTTAATTGTCAATAACGGTAAACGGAAAATTTTTTAAACGTTTAAATTTATGTAACGTTTAAACGCTTAAATTGAATAACGTTTAAATTATTTATGGCGTTAAATGATCAATTGCTTATAGCGTTTATATGTCCCATAATGATAAATAATATATACCTATTTTTTTTGATTTAAGACCCAGTCCATACTTAGTGAAAAATTAAATAAAATACAAGCGAAACTTTTAAAACACAGATAGGTGTTAAAAAAGAACTATATAAAAGACCATTCTAAGTGGATCTGGCATTAGATTAAAAAAAAAAAAAAACACAAATATTTCCAAAAATTTTACTTGTAAATTTTGAGTCTGAATTAAAGAAAAAAATTGATTCGCTTCCCTTAGAAATAAGTCTAAATACGCCCCTGGATGGAATCAACAAAGTCTGACATTATATAACAATACGTTTCTATTTTATAATCAATGTTGGAGGTAATCAGATAATGAGATCTTCTGAAAATCTCTCTAGAATTCTCTTCTAGCATTACTGCGATCACACATGATCGTTTACTATTAAACTATTGAACAAATAGTATTTAGCTATATTTAAATGAATAATTAATCATAAATGATAATATAATTCATGTGTAAAGTATATGTGTTTGTGTGTATGTACAACTACTATGTATCACACATACATTAATACAGTCAATAGTAAGTATTCAACTGATATTTTCATAATTTCTAACTTTTTATCATATCTTCTATATTTTTGTAGTATAAATCTTGTATTAAATTCATCTAATTCTGGTCATTCGATTGAAATGTAATCTTTTATTCATATCTTATAGGAATATTCACTTTTTCTAGGCTCAGAGATTCGTTGATATCTAAAATAATGAAATAACTGACTCGTCACCCACCTTCACTAAAAATAGTATCATTCTTTAAGAAATTACAGTTTTTGATATCCTTCCTGATCACCATAAAAAGCTTGAACCAATATTTGATCTTCTCTTCTGGCTCAACTATTGGCACAGTCTACTTTCAATGAAAGTCTTTCATCATCTATTCTCAGTTCTCCCTAATCTATGTCTCATTTCACAATCATATTTTTCTCACAACATCGTTTGGATAGTATAACATTATTTATTTATTATAATTAGTATGATTAAATAAATTATTTTCTTCCCATTCAATCGATTCTCTTATCACTAATTTCCCTTTTCTTTGTTCACTTCAACCGTGCGATACCAAAAACGGTAATCCATCATATTCTATTAATCTATCACTTTCTTTTTATTTTACAGATCTTTCTATCAATGTCAATTTCCTTTAAAATTTAATTTTACTACCATCATCTATCTTCCTTGTCATCAATTTTATTATCAAAATCGGCTTTCTTAATTTATTTACAACATATAAGTAACCATGCTGAAAATGATATTATTTAATCACTAACAGGTGCTGATCTAGAAATTAAAAAAAGGGGGGGCTAGTAATGTGAGTTACTGCCATAATTGGTTGCGCATGTCGATTTGTACGAATTTTTTCTTACGTTCAATTTTTTTAATTAATACTTACGTACGATATGGTCCTACCTAATGTCTAAAGGGGAGGGAGTATTTAGCCCCTTTCTTGTATCCGAGCCTGATAACTAAGCTTTAATATCGCAAAATAAAAGCAAATATATGTACATATATGTTTATATATTTAGTCATTCGTAATTTGATGAACTAATAAATATTGAATTTATTAGTTCATCAAATTATTATTGACGTATTTTATTGCCGTTTTACTGTTTATTAAAATATGGGTAATAATATTATTTCATATTTTCACGCATAGCTTTTATTATATCTTATTATACTGTACATACTATTTTACGTCTATCCATGTAAAGTTTAAATTGCAAAAGAAATCTGTAATAAAAGAATTGTATGTAATCAAAAGTGACACACAGATTTATAGATACATTATAAACACAGGATATCTCACGATCATTTTTTATTTCAAACTTATGGGTTAAAAAATTATTTTTAAAATATAAGTAAATTCCCATGGTGTATTTCATATAAAAATACATGCACTAAACCAGGGATCGGCAATTAATTTCCATGATGGTTCAGATAATTTAAAAAAAATGTCGAGGACCAGAAATAACTTAAACGTAATTTTATCAATAATTTATTTATTTTTGTATTAAAAACACATTATAAGACAAATTATTTATTATTTAATTATTTATAAAGTAATTACACATTCATACTAATAATAACAAAATTGTATACTTAAGTTTAATGAGAGAAATGACATTTCTTTTCTTGAGCTAGTTTTTTTTGAAAAACTGATATTCTTGGAGAACAAATGATGCGCAAAGTATTTTCAAAGTGGATCTTGAACGGTATTTATTTTTTAAAAATTTCATTTTGGAGAACGAAGTTTCACATATATATGTGGAGCATAGTACTTAATTTTATGGCCAGGGTTTTACAGTTCGTGTATTTATCCTAGACATATTTTGTCCAAAAATCTTCAGTAGACGAAGTTTTGTTCATTTGCAATGAAATATCTTCTTGTAATTCAATAATTTCCATTTAAAGTGAAGATTTTATAAGTTTAGTCGGAAAACTAGCAAAATATTTTTGGTGGGGACAATTATTTCCCTTCTACTGGCTGCACATGGCCGCGGGTCGCCTATTGCCGACCCCTGCACTAAACAGTTCTCCTTTCCAAAAGCAATTTTTAGAGGAATTCATCTTATTTCTAAACACACATCACAGTACACTCTCATACACTATGTACATAAAATATATAACTCATTTTAATAAAATATTTAAGTATTTGTAAATTTTTATTTCTCTTATATGGTACAATATGTATTGATCATAATAAATAAAAGGCCTTTTTAATATTTAATTCAATTTTTTTAAATGTATTTAATAATGTAAAATAATTTTAGAAATTTATTTAATTTTCAAATTAAGTAAATTATGTAATCATTTTTATTCTCATAACATTTTGAATATTGTTTTTAGTATATTATTTTTGATAATTATTTTATTAAAAGAATAAAATATACAGGCTAAATATTGTAGTTATATGTAGTTTATTTTGCAGATATTGAATACTAGGCGCAAAGATTTATGTTCTACTTTTACTATTTTTTCTAACTGAAAGCTCCTAAATAAAAAAATAAAAAATACTTTTACTATGTCGGTATTTCAATAGCTGAATTAATTATTAAAATATAGCCATAGAAATATATCAGAAGAAATGTATATTGTTGTAGATTGAGAAGAAATTTTTTATATGAGCTTAGTTAAATTTTTCCTAAAAATAACCAAAAATTTGTTAAAAAAAATTGTCATTGTTTTTTATTTCTTTAACAACTAAGTTTAAATTCAACATTTATATATTTTAATTATAATTATTTTATACACTTATTAACCTGGTATTTAGTTTAAAAACTGCATAAGTGGGTACAACTATTTGAGAATCTTTTCTAAATTATTTTGCCAAATAAAAGAAAACTTGCATAGTAAAAATAATAGTGTTCATGTTCCGTAAATAATAATCTTTTCACTTATAAAATTCAAATTAGTATTATGCATTTATCATTTTATGCAGTTACTTGTATTTACTGTGTAATGAAAGAGTGAAAATATTTTGACTTTCTATTAACTACACATTATACGAGTATTTGTTTACTTAGGAATATACTGTTATTATTAATATATGAATATATGTATAACTAAATGAATCATTAACAAACGATTTAAAAGTATCATTTTATATTAAACTTCATGTAATAAATTAATTTAGATTTTACATGCAGATTTACATAATTAATTATTTGATTTCCTCTTTTTCATTTTATTCTTGACTTATACACTTTTATGGGTTATAAACTTTGCAGATTTATTGCTTTAAATTTGTTTTAATTTTATTATTATCCATCTCAATCACAACTTTGATTATTACATAGATAATCCTTTTAATTGTAATTGAAAAAAAAAAACGTTTGTATTTAATAATAAATATGATAATTGGAATTAAAATAAAAATATAATTATGTAAGTAGGTACCTAATACCTATTATACACATAATTATTAGTAAATATATTTGATGCGAAACTTTTCCTAATTTCCAACAATTTTTTGAATTTTATTATAAATCAGTGTTAGCATAGCAGATAAGTATCCCGTAACTGATGTTTTCTTCATGTCTATAAAAACAATGTTATAACATTTTGATGAAAAATCTCCGCTTATAAGTTCTTCGACAAAAGTTATTTTAAGTTATTAATCATAGTTAGTCGAATTAGTCATTATAATTAACTTCGTTTAAAGGGGGAATAGGAATAATGTTTTAACTTGAAAACTTCATGACTCATACTAACATTCAAATGTATATTTAGAGTATAATGATAAATTCTAGGCAATTCAATAATTATTGAGTGGTTTTTTTAAGTACTACACCAACTGGACAAAATCATTATGGTGAATATATTTTTACTTATAAACAACATCAGCTGTTGACTCAAATTAAAATATATAATATATAATTAAACATGAACATATAGTGGTATATACATTAATGAAAAGATTTACTATATTATATAACCTTGAAGACGTAATTTCTTTGGTGGGTACGCACCTCAATTTTTGTTTATTATTGTCCTACAAAACTAATATTTATTATCTATTTATTATAAATCTATTAAATTACTTGTAAATATTTATTGTATAATATGTTTTGTTGACTTAATAAAGTTTTTGATTTTTTGTGTGGTTTAATTAGGTACGGTTAAAAAAGTTTGATTATGACTGTTGAAATTATTCTGCAATTATCACATGTTATAACTTATATGTATATTAAATGTGGCATATTGATTGAGATACTTATATGTATCTTATAGTTGATGATAGCTTATTATTTATCGAAATAATTGAGTTAAATAAGCGTTTTCTGTTCCATATTATCATCACAGTGATATCCATTTTGTTAAGTACCAATGTCTATTTTCCCAACTAAATGTAAACAAGTAAGTTTAAAACAAAACAATTTTATGATTTTAAAACAATTCTATACTTAGGTTTTAATAAAAATAAACAATTGTGTAAAATTTAACGCAAAATAAAAATATGTTTTCTTTGTAAGAGAAAAAAAAAATTGTAAAGACAGATACAGTCAAAAGATTGTGTTAATTTCACAAACAATAGGTAAATATGCTACAGGTAAATTATGTACAGTTTCTTCCGTGTCTTGACCACTCTCCGTTTACGAACGTCGGAAATTGTGGCGAAATTTGTCGCGCACCGAACCTCGTTGCACGCACGCTAGAGCATTATTTAAATCGGCAGAACCACAACATCTCATTAAACATTTATTTATTTATTTTTGATTTGATTTACGCGTTTTTTGCTGTGTTTACGTGTAAAATATGTAATCACAACGCAGATACGCGATTATTGTGTGGAGATTCCGAAAAACGGAGGTAACGCACGGGAGCTGTGAGTGCTTTGAATGTCTCGAGTGATGAAATTATGAGCGCATGCAACGAACCGGATACTTAACAATCGATAATAATACATTATTATGTGTGAGCACACGCACCTGTTACGTATTAGGTCCGTCGCGTTCGAACGCGTTTAAAATGTAACTGAGCAAAGTTATTCGTACCACTACGGTATAACGCAATGAAAATGCCTATAAATACGTGAAAAATCCTACGACCGTCGTGTTGGCCGTGGGGTTAGACGCAGCGCGTGTATGTTTACGTTACGAAAATTATTTTTGAAAAGTTTTTTCGACCACCGTAAACGTGTGTGTACGCAGCAGAACAAAGGCACGTGGTGTTAACAGAAAATATTGGTAGAGAAAAAAATATATAGAACAGAAGACACACCATCGAAATACGGCAACGTGATACACGCGTACAAACGAACAGTATTATAATTTCGGAAAGTCCGATTCCCGCAGTAATAAATTTATATGATATACTGTGATCACGGGACCGTGGTGGGTTGGGAGGGGTGGTGGTGTGTTATCATGTGTAAACACGTGCGAGTGTGTCTGCTGGACGTACGTCGATGTACACAATATCAGTAAGGATGTATCGCCGCGATACCGATACGGCCGGACGGCTGTAACGAACCGTTGTGACGGTACACCGGGTCCTGCGACGACGGCGGCGGCGGCTGCGGCGCATACTGCTGGTGGTGCTGGTGCTGGTGATGGTGGTTGTGGTTGTGGTTGTGGTTGTGGTTGTGCCTGTGGTAGGCCTCCGCGTAGCTGTGTCTGTACCTGGGCGAAACGGGCGCGGCCACGGTATCCTCGTGCACCGCGGCCCGCTTGTCGGCCACCACCATCATGTCCCGCGGTCTGCCGTAACCGCCGGCGCCGAATTCCTGCTGATGATGATCCTCGTAAGCGTACGCCGCCGACCGGCGCTTGTACTCACGGCTGGCCAACGGTGGCGGCGACGACAGGCCGTCCTCGTCCGCGGTCCGGCCGTCCGGCGACGCGTCGTGTCTGCAGCCGCCGTAGCTTGGCGGACAACAGCCGCCGTCGCCGCTGCAGTCCTCGTACGCGTACGCCGCTGAACGTCGTTTGTAATCGTTGGCGCGTGACGACGACGACGTCGACGACGTGGGTCGTGGCTGTGACGGCTGCGAGTCGCCGAAATGGTTCCGTCTCGGCGCGGCCCTGGGCGCCGCTTCCGTTACCGTCCGGCGTTGTGGGCTTTTGTACCGGTCTCCCAGCGGAGACCGTCTCGGTTTGTGGTCCACATAATCCTCTGTCGAGTAGCTCCTGGGCGCCGGCCGCGGCTCATCGTGTTCGTTCTGTGGACATCGAGAACAAACGAGATAAATGTACGCGTTGCACGTAATCATACCGTACATGGTTATTGTTATATTATTTTATGATTGAATTATATCGCAGTTGTTTTCAGTTAGCATATAAGACCTGGGACTCCAATGAGGCAGATACTTAAACCGCACCGGGGATAGGCTTTTTTTGTGCATTCTTATAATACAAACGAAATCTTTTCATTTTTTCGCACATTTTTTGCGATAAAATTAACACAATATTTCCCAACAAATATAACGTATTAAGAGATTTGTTTGATATGAATCTTTAAATTTACGGTTTTTGCTGACAACTTTTACTACTTTTATAACTCTACTACTAATCTACCAGCTATTAAAATTTAATTTCAAATCATTTTAATTGCCTAACTATTGCATTTTTTTTGACCTTTGTGAGACGAATGAAACCTTTCTTTTATATATTCATTGGACACACAAATGCGTCTCATCTACTGGCAATCACTCTTTTATTCTATAGGGATAGGGTGTTATTGCAGCATTTTGATGTATTTTACGTTGAACTTATCGTTTTGAGTATCTGGAATGATTGGTCAAACTGTGTTCCAAAGCTGGGTTACGTGAAATAAATAGTCTTAACTCACGGAGCGGATACATGGCAGTAAATACGAAATTCAACATTTTGGAGTGGACTAGCCTGTATCGTGGAAATGTTTTTACGGGCTCAACAGGCCGCAATATAGTACATCTATATAGAGTATAAATTTAATTGTTTGAACACCACGTTCAAAGGAAATTTCAAGATAAGCAGATAAACGCTAATTAGTAAAATAAAAATAGTCATCATTGTAATACCTATCAACATTATGATATCAGCTATCATTAGTGATAAGACAAGAGCCATCTTAAGGATTTTTAGGGCCTGGGAAAAATTAATTCTAAGGCCCCTCAATCATCATAATATACGGTTATGATAAAAAAAATACACACCAAGTTTGTAAAATGTCGATAAAGTTTTCCATATCTCAACCAATCAGTCATTTAAATGTTTCGATACAATGAATTGAATTTAAAATAACTTCTCAACAACACAATACCACATTTAATTAAAATGTTATTTATTCCTAGATAATTTATAAACAGACAGATACTTACGATAACGAATTTCTACGTACATTTGGGTAAAATCATGACATTCTTCTCACTCCGACAATAACAATAATAAATTACAATTATAACTATTTATAAATTAGAATAACTAAAAATGTAGCCTCCTGTATAATACCGCTTAAATATAAATGTAAATTAATTTTATTTATTTAAATTTATTAATATTTCATAAAAAAAAAAAAAGTTTAGAAATAATATCAATTTATTAATATCAATAATCTCTAATGAATAACATCGAGTATTTCTAATAAATCTGAACTTTAAGGGGCCCCCTTTTAAATTTTTATAGAGCCTGGGGTAAAACGGTTCCGTTATATTCCCCCTCTGGTGTAATATTTTAATAAACAATATATGTAAATAACGGGTTAAATAATAAATTTCCAACTGTTTAGATAATTTTTATTAATGGTAATAAACTCTGTGTCCTATTTTATATATTAATTTTTGTATTTTATAATTATATTATATTATTATTTTAATCTACACCCGGGGGGGCATGGTAAGAAGTTCTACGTGATGCCTCCTGGTAACAGCGTGTCTTTCATTTCACATCCATTATTATCTAAGAATATAAACAGCGAAAACAAAAAATAAGACGCTGGCCAATCTTACTATTTACAGTTAGCCTAAATGGCTCTTATCAGGGCTAAGCTCAACACTGGTGTTTCTCCACACCAAGGGACTCATATCAGAGAAAAAACAGTTCAGGGTATAAATAGGAACAAAAAATAACTTCGTTAATGGGAAAGTAGAAGAGACCACAGAATACGAATGCAGAGACAAACAAGACGATCAGCACCTATTGTAGTGCGGTATGGCCAATACGAAATGCATTAGAAACGAGCTCTTTAGAGAACTCACTGACGAAGTAATAAAACTGATTTATTATTGGCTTCAAAAAGGAATCTGACACAGTTAACTGATACGATGAAGAAGAATCCACATCCATCGCGTAATTCCGTAATAGTTATGTAACTACTGTTTTATCGGAACTCGGAACGCAATTCTTTTCGAATCATATAAGAATGCGTTTTCATTTGCATTAATTAATGTAAAAGTTGAATTCCGTTCACTAATTCTTGTTTTTAAAATTAAAGCGTTCACATATATGCATATATGCATTACGAATAAAATAATTTTAATCTTTTTAGTGTAATGATGTCATGTTAATTTTATTAACATTATTCATAGAGCTAATTTTATAATTTTACAAAAATATATTTTTATGGAATTCAAACAATTTTTTTACCCTTTATTTCAAAATGAAAGCAGGTAAGTTCATAATTTACTAAAATTACAAATATGAAGGGAATTCCGGTTACAATAAATGCATTTTATGATTATTATTCAATGATATTATCATACATAGTGTTATGGATTCTATAGTATAACCCAGTGATGCCGGATCTTTTTCCTTTGGCGGACCACTTTGGTAAAAAATTATCTTCAAGTGGGCCACAAATTATAAAAGTACAAAAATAATCTTATATATTGGAATAGTTTTCTTTTCTAAACAAAACGATATTTTAAAATTTTATTCAAAACTTCCACACGAAGATTTCTCTGCTTTAAGAGACTTTACAATGAAAATAGCTACTGTATTTGGCTCGACATATATATGCGAACAAATATTTTCACGAATGAAACAAACAAAATCAGTTCATAGATCGCGACTTACGGATGAACATATTCAATTATGAGGATTGGAACCACCAAATTTCAACCAGATTTTTCATTATTAGTAAAAGAAGTACAAGCTCAAATTTTACATTACAAAATAAGAGTAAAACATTTTTATATAGTTTTTAGTTTTATTACTGTCATTATAATTGTATTTTTTGGAATAATTATTTAAATGAGTTCATAAATTTAAATAGAAATAATATATGAAAATAAATAATTTAAAAATGTTTTCATTTATTTTTAAATTTTTTTTTTTATTTTAGAAAATTCGTAACAGACCACATAGAATAACTTTGCGGGCCACATGTGGCCCGCGGGCCGTGAGTTGGGCACCACTGTATAAACCTTATAAATAATATTCCCCATTCCGCAAAGTGTTATTTCTTTTTTTTTTTTTTATATTCGATACATGGAGATCTGTAGAAATAATGTTCCATCATTAAGGTAAAATATTTTGAATGGTTGGAACATTCGATTTGTACATCGTTTTTTCATTTTGTTTTTTTTTTAAGTTTTACAATGACACAAGTTATTTTTGATAATAATAAAAAAAAAAAATCAATGAGATTTTAAAGTATGCTTATGGTTTTATATTTTTTTTCACATACAATTCACTTACAAAGATTACAATGACTTACAAAAGTGACAAAATGATATATTTTTAAATAAATTGAAATAATAAATTATTGATTGGTGATAGTAGTAAAGGTAAGAGACGAAATTCGTCCAGAATCTGTAAAATGTTTTTCAACAAATTTTTAAGGTAGGAAAAGTGGAAAGTGGTCATGCAGATTATATAAATCGAAAACATACTAAGATATATTAGCAGTGGCGGTTCTGGTAGTATTTTTTTGGTGAGGCAACCTATGTATCCCCCCCCCTCCCCATACAAAATAAGGCTTCACAATAATGTGATTTAAAAACATAAAAATAATAATAGTTGTATGAATGATAATAATATACTTGTTTATAATATAAACAATGTAATTAATATAATATTAATATATATATTATTATGTAAATAATATAATAAGTAATAGATAAGTAATAAACAGAGCATTTGAAAATTTGGTATTCCTTAAAAGGACCTTTTAAGTAGGTATACCTAGTCCTGAAAAGAACTTTTTAAGTAGGTATGCTTAGCAGGGTATATTGTAAGGCGCTGTTGAGCATTGATTGCGATATCGAGAACATTTTTTGTGATTTTGGAAGTACATTTTTATGTTGTTGATAATGTTATAATGATAATATTACGGGTGAGAAGGTTGGTGAACTCAGTCGTGTAGCTATTTCAAAAGGGAAGTGTTATTCAAAATTATACACAACAAAATAAATACTTTACGTATATTTTATTGTACAAGAATACAAACACATTAGTACATTTACATGAATATCTATTCATGTGTAATGTACTATAGTATGAGAAAATATTTAAATATTTTATCATATTAAAATTTCAAATGTACATTTTTGTCATATGTATCTATTTTAAATCGCGCATGATACGACATAAAACCACGGTTTTGGTATATTAGACAAAACGATGTAATGAGAAGCTGGATCCCGGCTTTACATTATTGTTATGTTCATATATATTTCGTTATGATAAATATGTTTTCATCATGGTTTATGATCAATTTTTACCTTTATTAGACTTCAGTATAATGTTAACACGGTTAAGGGTGGAGTGGGGGTGTTACTACACCTGTAACCCATGGCTACGGGCCTTGGTAAAATGGTTTGAAAATTATATTTTTGAAAAACCACCGATATCATAATTTTGTGGGAATTACACGTATTTTAGTGAAGTGATTTTCAAATTTTTAATATTACTTGTTAAATTATTTTACCAGTTATATGTATTATTTTAAAGATTATTTTTCGGAAGTCGATTACCTTATAAGTACTTGCTTACGCCGAACATAGACGTCGTTTCTTAATTGTTTCCTTAATTGTACTTGTTTAATTTAGTATGATGTATATTGTATATAATACACTATTTATATGCGTTATGAATATAACATTATAATAGGTATGCGAGCCTTGGTTTGTTTCGATTCAGTTCCAGTAATTCCACCAATAATTATTTTACAAATCGTCGGCTTTCTATTTATTGTACTGGTATAATGTAATCATATTTGAAGTACAGTATTAGTTTGAGAGTGCACTTAATATCTAGCGTAGTATTTATTCATATAAATAATTATATTTAGTATACTTAATTAAGAGTAGAGTTATAAATGTGACTTTTGATAAAGGGGTAGAGGGAATTTAATGCGTCGTTGACCAAAATTTTAGAATAGACCCTGATGCCTAGTCCTAAAAAGGACATTTAAGTATGTCTAGTTCTAAAACTATTAATTAACTAAATTAAACTATTAAGTTTTGTATAATAAATTTATACTCCTATCTATTTGACTAGCATACATATTTATATCATCGTAAAATGATTCAGTTTTTTTAAGTTGATGAATCAAGAACTTTTCAATTGATAGTATTGAAAGAGAATTTAAACGAACTTGTGAAATACTATTTCGAGTACAGGTTTTAATTCTTTTGAGGCAAGAGAAACTTCTTTCATTTGATAAACTAGTTGATGATATGGTTAAAATAAGAATAAGTAATTTATAAGCTTCAGGTAAAATGTTTTTCAATCCATCTTATTCAATAATTTTAACCTTGTCATAAATGTGTAATAAATTTTGATATTTTATATCACTATACAAAACCTCCAATTCTACTTTTAATGTATTAATATTATAAAATATAATAGAATTGATTTCAAATTGTTTAAAGCATTTACAGGAAATTTACAATATTCTTTAAATTTAGTACATCAGTTAACTGTAAAAAAATTTATTTATTTGTATCTTGAAATCTGGTACTTAATTGTATTAGAATATTATCAATTATTTTATAAAACAATATTTTAAAACTTGATTGATTGTTAAATTCATTTCTTGTAGCTTTTGGAGGTTTTGTAAGAGTAACCACTTGATTAAATAATTTTAAAAATTAATTTCTTTTTTTTTATTTATAAGATTATATGTTATATATATTTTTCTCAAGCAAAATTCTACATCAAATGATTTATTTTGCAGTATGTTAAATAAATTGTCAGTATATATGAATATATCACAAAATATCAGTGCTAAAAAGGCAAACTCAAAAGTTTTTAAATTTTTAAATGACCAATAGCACCACAAATAGATTCAGATGACGATTTTGGATTTTTGCTAATACAATCAAAAACATTTATAAACCCAGGAAACTCATTAACTAAAGTGTGTAAAATATTTGACCATGAGGACCATCTTGTTTGAACAAATTGAGGAATTCTTTTCCCTACAATAGTGTCTAAAACATTTGTACGCGAGGTGGAATTGTGAAATTAAGCAGTGACACGGATGAGGTTAGTAAAAAATATACGACATTTAGAATTTATGCTACAACCATGTTACAATAACAAATTTAATCTGTGAGTTAGGTAGTGTGTAAATAAAGCATTAGGTGCAACTTCCTTTATTATAGTCTGTAACCCTGTTAAATGCATAGACATTAAACATGACCCATCATAACATTGTCCAACTAATTTATTTTCAATATCAAACTTATGAAAACAGAATTAACCAAATTAAATAAACCTTGAGCCGTACGGTATTCACTAACATTATGAAAACCCAAGAAACGCTCAACCAATTCAGATTTATTTGTAACATATCTTATTATTATTGAACATTGTGTTTTTTGACTAATATCTGTAGTATCATCAATTTTAATGGAATAAAATTTACATTGCCTGTTTTACATAACCTGATTTCATTTTTTATTTGGTTTATTAAAAATCCAGAAATACATGGAATTAAATCATTTTGTATGGACTTGGACATAACTTAAAATACGTTTTTTATACTATTATAATGATTTTGTATTTCTTGAGAACACCTAATAATATTCATATCAAACAACTCTCTAAAATTCCCTTTATTTAACGAATCACTGCTTTTATCATGACCTCTAAATGCCAACTTTTGTTTTCCCAAAAATAAAACCAAATTGATTAAGTGCTCCCATAAATAAACGATTCAATCTCATATTTTCATTATAATTTTTTTAAACATATTACCATGTTCATTAAAAATATCTAGTATAGTAAAACAAATTTTTTCTAGGTTTTTTAATCCTAAATGATTATGAATATGTTCTTTTCATGGTTGATGTATTTGTATACCCCTAGATAAATTGTTTTATCATAATACCCAACAGTAATCCACACAACTTCATTTTACCCAACAGCAAATATGGCCAACAAAATAATTTTTGTATATAATGACTTTCACATAACCAAGAGTATTTTTGATATAAATTTGGATTAAATGACCTACAGAATACTTAACTTAGTTTCTTGACAGGAGCCAAAGCTGAAAAAATTGGAATAGGCTTACCAACTTTTAGTAAATTTTTTTTACTGTAAGAGTTCCAACGTCGAAACGGTGTTTCTAACCACATGACTACCACGTCTGTCACTGGATACATAACTCCAAAATGAATTTAATAATTTTCAATAAAAAGAATAGCAGCATTCATACATACATTTTAACGAAGACGTCAAAACAGAAATGACTAATAATAAATATAAAATTATTATCAATAGATATTATAACGGACAATGGTTTAATTAGGATTGTCCCGAGTCCCGACTGTAACAATAACAACTTTACTGATAATGTGTTTTTACGTTGAAATTACGGTTGACCATAATTCCTGTACATCGCATCTATTTTTAGTATATAAGGCAATGTTAGTCGAGCCTCGAGATGATCTTTGCGCATGTACAACTCTACTTATTTTTATAGTCACGTGCATTCGCGTACATACGCTCAATCTAAAACAAATGGACGTAGCCGTTTGGACGTGGCTGTTTGGACGTCGGAACAAATAGACGTCAAAAAAAATATATATATTAATCAGTAAATACATTTTTTTTTATATAATCATATATAATAATATATAATTGTAATTTTTTTATAATGAGTTCTCATTTTTCAGATTAAAATCCAAATTGCAAGTTTTTATTGTAAATTAATTAATTATTTTTTATACAAAATTTGATCAATATCAAGACCGTATTTGTAGAGGGGTCCAAGTGGTTCGGACACTCCCTCGAAATTTCTTTAGTATTTTATAAATGTTTAAAATAACTATTTATTTTTAATACTAACATAAATATTTTCAGTTATAAATGGCTTAAATTCCGATTAAATTAACTGCTTCATCAAATATTCACCATATTTGTTATTTTATAGGAATAATTAAATCTATGGGAAATTTTATTAAAATATCGGCTAAACGAACTAAACTTTTAACAAATAAAATAAAATAATTTCTATCTCAAACTAAATGGATTAAATTAACTTCCATATATGAGACTAGGTGGGTTGAAAACTACGATGGTATGTTAAAATTTTCAGAAATATATAAACCTATTGTTGTAACATTAGAAGAACTACAATTATTTGTAAACATTGAATCATCATCTAAACTTTAGAAAAAAGAACTTTAGAACTGTAAAGCTTTAGATTCTAAAGTAATGATAACTAAATATGATAACTGCGACAGCACTTATTTCTATAACTTTGCCATTATGTAAGGTATTGCAGTTTGCAAAAGGCGATTTAAATAAAACAGTTGAAACAAGTTGAAACTGTTTTAAGTGAAGTGAAAGATATGCGAAAAAACATTGATGACAATTTCAAAGAAATATTCATTAAATCAGAACAATTATTCATATCCGTGAAAGATTAAAATTTTTTTTAAAAATATCAATAATAGTCAGTCATTCAAAAAAAAAATAATAATAATAATATAGATACCAAAATTCTGAAGATTATTTTCGTATATTGCAATTTCTTTCTATGATGATTTTATTAGTCAACTTAAAGAACGATTTTCCAAACACAAGATAATTTTATTGTCTTTGTATTTATTAATACCAAAAATGTGTGTGAAATCTTCAATTTTAGAATTAGATTTTAGTTTATATTCAAATTTTATAAATGTTGATTCATTACCCTCAGAAATAAAATTATGGGAAAGAAAATGGATTGCATTTAAAGACACAAATCGTCCAAATACAGCTATAGAATCATTAAATTATTGTAACCCTGAACTTTTTTCCAAATATTCATTTTTTATTAAAAGTATTACACTGCTGGTTTCTTCAGTAACTCCCGAACGAACTTTTTCGACATTAAAACGCGTCGAGACATTTTTACGAAACTATACAGGACAAGAAAGACTAACTGGCCTGGCTCTATTAAGTGCTCATAGAGATGTTACATTCAATTCCGAAGAAGTGTTAGAGTTTGCTCTTCAAAAATATAGAAGCATTATATTAGTTTAAAATATATTGGATTTATATATGTTATTTTATTGTTATTTTGTTTATTCAATTATATATTTTATTAAAAAAAAATTAAACCTTCTTTAGTCTTATTTTTAACCAAATTTTAAAACCCAATTCAGTAAAATTACAGTAAAAATATTTTGAAAGAATAAATCGGTGCATTTTTTAATAGTATACCTTTGATTATTGTCAAAATATGATTTATTATCAAATTATAGTTTACCTGCAAGTTCCTGGATCTTCTATTGGAGGAAGTAGGTTTTGAATAACCAGCATTGTGATAATCTAAACTTTCTCTCGATCGGTTTGTTCTTTTAATATTTTTCAATCTTTTATCATCAAAATCATCATTATTATACCGATTACTGTCAATTTCATCATCAGAACCGTGTTCTTTTGACCAATCACTCGAGTCTCTGACTGCTGCTCTTATCATGGGCATAGCGTTTTCTTTTCTTTGGCGTTCTAAACATTTTTTTAGAGCAGACCGTTGCTCATCGATCCGTTCTTTTTCTAGCATAAGGAACTTTTCTTTAGCATCCTTGAATCGTTCTCGGGGAGATTCATTGATTATAGAATCATTTGGAGATGGAGTTCTCTGACGAATTTCCACGGGTTTTCGTCTGAATTCTGATGTTGTGGGTGTTATAGAGGTTTTGGTCATTTCACAGTTTCTCGGTCTCGGTTGGACTAATGCGACATTACGATCTGAATATTTTTCTCTAAGGTTTGGTGCAATGTTTTGGTTTTGACGCTTAAAATTGGATGGATTTATATGCTCTGTTTTTCCATAATAATCTTTTTCTGGAGAGGTCACTGGACTACTGCTGCTGTCCACGCCACTATCTTGTCTCCGTATTCTGGGTAGTGGATGATCATTCATTGATTTTACAAACAAAGGTTCTTCTAATGGATTTGTATTCCAGTCATCATCTGAAACAAATAAATATAGTTATGTAAGTCATGATATTAAAATTAAATACATAGTTTTTAATTTAAGATATATTTATTTAGTAATGGTCATAAAATCATTATCATCAATTCATCACGAAGCAATAATTACTATAGTTTAGGAAATCGCTTAAGGACAACAGGTATGATTTCTAGTTATTATTAGATTAAGACCGGTTTTTTTTTTAAAACCATCAGTTACCTAAAATATAAATATATTAAGTAGGTTAGGTTGCCAATGAAAATAGTATTATCTGTATTTGCGAGACTCTTATAACTATTTTCAAATAAAATGAATGTCTATAAATTATAATAAACGTCTAATAAAACCTGCACCTTCCAACTGAATATGGTTGTATAAATATATTTATAGCGTTAATCGATTATCAACAAAACTGAAATTGAATAAAAAAAAATCGTAATAGTATTCACCCATAAATTAAAATTAATTGGTTTCAACTTTCGAGTACAAAACATAGTCGATAGAAGTAATTGAGGACAACTTATACATGTTTTTGACCACTTTAAATATAAGCTACGTGTATAATGTATATACTACACATTAAAATATATAATACATATGTATTATATAAGCAAAAACCTCAATTCTTCGCCAAATTCCTAACAAAAAATGTAAGCAACCAATGTTTTATTAACTACTGGTTTGTTATACCGAAATAATACAAGTATTAGTGTCGTTTTAATTAACCGGTTTCATACACTTTGCCTAGAAATCTAAAATCCTATTTTTTGACCTCAAGAATCCTTTCTCCCAAAGCCCAATATAATGACCGAAATAATAAACCGGCTTACATAGATAATATATTGGTATATATACATACATTACAATACGTGTATAGAAGATGACCACAAACAAAATTATACGGATGCATTGGTTAAACTTGACTATGTATTTAGATACCTTGCATATTGAAAATCAGAATACGGATCGATACCATAAAAATAATTTTTCTTCCTATATTATACATTCGTGTAGTAGCAGCAAAACAATGGTAGTTTATTATTTTAATCGGCTATACGGCACAATTCGCACGGTTTTTTTTATACAGCCACAAGAGGGCATGAGAAAGAGGTCATATTATTACGTACGAATTGGTGGTTCTTTACAAAACGAACGAATCGAACACTAAAAGCCGCGGAATTGTACCAAACAATTTTTTTCTCGTGAAGGTGGGGCTTCACACGTGTGAAAATATAATATATTCATAAAGATGATTTCGTAACCGAACTATTACACCTTAGTTTTTGTATTTTAATAGTATTCTTAAAGCCAAAAATCTCCAAAGTAAATATGTAAAATACACTTTAGACTTATTTAATGTTTTTGATATCTAGGCGTAAAATGTTGTTTTAAATCGTTTTCATTCGCGTATTGTGTATACGGGAAAAAAATTAATGTGTCAACAGTTGTTTGATAACAAATCACATCGTGAATGTTCATTATTTCAATTTGCAGCACCAATTATTATTTTTTTTTTATTATTCAAGTTGGACTAATAATTTTAAATAATACAATAAAATCAATAAAAGTCATAAATAACAAATAAAATCTAAAAACAATACTCCGAGTATATAGAAAGACAGTGATTGTAATAAAATAGTTATCAATAAAACTTTTAAAAGTATTGTCATTTGGCACCTTTTAAATGAACGACATATACGGTTGTTGTTCTGCAAAAACTATGTATTGTATTAGACATTTAAGTACCTAATTATATATAATTAAAATTGTTTTGTATCCGACACAACAAAAAATTTGTACGGAGAAAGTGCACCAGATGAATTTTACACGAGTGCTTCGGGCTGTGTACCGTTATCCAACTTGGCATGCAATAACGCATATTCGTGTTTCTTTTTACAATCGATACATTCCGAATGTGATTATTTCACTAAGGATAGAAATGAAACGTGCAATTTATGTTTAAATAAAACAAAAATTAATTACGCGTAGAAGGTTTACTAGACACGCACCTACGTGGTTATATTGTATATGCTTATAGCTGTTAATTCGATGTACGGTGCATTTAATGTATTAAAATAGTATTTACATAATATAACGAGGAGACTGAAAAATAAGTATTGTATTATACTTGGTTCAATCGCGTTTAGGTACACATACAGCCACAAGATTAATATAAGATCATTATAGCGAAAAAATATACTATGAGTATTATATTATAGTCTTCCTTTGGCCGTAATTTCTGATTGTTGAAATCCATCTTTTCAACGAATCGACGACCTCTGACTCGGGCCGTGTGTGTATGAAGAATCGTGCCGCGTGAAAGTCTTTCGCGCGTGCATATACGTTTACGCTCTCTTAATATCGCCAATAGACATTCGGAATTAAAATAATCTGTCTACGGTCAATCCGAGAATAATACGGCTGTCGCAGTTGAATGAATGTAGATACATCTGGTATATGTGTTGTACAGTTTAAGCCTTTGAAATCGAATAAGAAGCGCAGCACATTGCACGGACTCAATCTCGATTTTTTATACTTGCTAAAATTTCAAGTCTAAGAATTTTTTTCCTGTACAATTTTACGTTGAATGCGTCATATTTTTTTTTTTTATTCGATAAAAAAAACCTATTTTAATTTCTTTAACATAACCGTGTATAATTGTAGCAAACGAGGGGAAAAAACCAATTATATTACCATATCGTTCCATTCCTTGGTAATATACATATATGAATAAATGTTATTTTATAGTACCGTTGTGTACACTACTTTACCGAATAAATTCAGCATATATCGTCGTTAATAATATTCTGTTAATTGACACATTCTAAATTATATTAATACACTGAAGTGGAGTTAGCAAATATGGGGAGATACGCCTAATTTACGATTTTCTAATGTTTTCAAATTAAATGTATATATGTATATGAATTTTCTTTTGGTAGTTTTTGAATGCCACATAAATGTGCGTACCTCACAAACACTGAATACAAACGTCATAATATATGCACTTGGACTATATATTTATGCGCGTGGTATTATAATTTTGATAGATAAACAACTATTAAAGCTCAGCAATTATGCGGTAAAAAACAATCGCTGGGTTTGCACAATCCTGTAGTTGGCGCAATTTCGTTAGCTCTATTATCTAAAAAAAAAAAAAAAATAACCATACCTGAAATATACGTTCGCATAATTTCAATCATAGTGAATCAGATATTATTTTTATGTATACCAATAAACTAACATTTGAATACTCCATACGAATGAATGTATTTATTGAACACGCAAACATACCAAATAGGTCATCTACTATATTATATCGTCTATATCCATTGGGAACCCCTCGGGTTACTAGCATTATACTGTATACGTACTATATAAAATATATCATGGACAGTAAAGTATAACTACTTCTCATCGTGTTGATATTCATGTTTTATTATATAGACACGAAAATGACCTCTGGTACTGCTTATACAATACAATCTTATTTTAAATGGTGAAATTTAGAAGTGCTGTATGTAGTTTTTTACGTCTAGAAAAAGAACAAGTTCATTATTCAATATATATATATATATATATATATATATATATATTATAAATTTTATTTATTGTATCCTTCACCGTAAATTTTACGTTTGTTTAGATTAATTATGAATTTATAAAGTAAACCTGTAACTTCCCATAAAGAAAATATTTGTTTAAATATTCAATAAATGTAAATACATGTAATCACTCATTTCTGATATAATCCTCTAATTCTAAATATACAATATAATTTAAGGTAACACTAACAAAAAACCAACAGTGGCACCAGGGATAGACTACGTAGGGTCATGACCTTATCTAAAAATGTCTACCCCCCCCCCCTTCTAGTGGACCTACTACTGGCCTGATTTTAAGCATAATAATATAGCCAATTTTCATAAGCAGAAATATTTTAAAGTAGTTTTATCATAGTGTTGTAATCATTTAAAATGTTCAAATATATTAATTAACTCATTTTAATAATAATAATTCTTTTTCCGCTGAAATCTAATTTTTTATAACCCTTTCTTATAATTATTGACCTCTAATTAGCTCTACTTTAAAAAAAAAAATCCTGACACCACCATTGCATAAGGCTCTTCAATTAGCTTTATACTTTTTTCAAGTTAAAATTTATGTTTATGCGTAAAATAATATAGGTTTATGGGTTAACTGATGATTCTATGCCTCTATGGTATTTATATATATTGTTTTTTATTGTGTAATATAAAAAACATTAATAATCACTATTCATATTGTGATTATTAATAACTGATTATTATCAAAAAATTATTGAATATAAATGATTTTTATCTTTTTATAATTTAAAAATTTAAAGATTCATCAGAATTTACTTGAAAGTCATTCAAGTACAAGAATTGATTCAGCACAACCATCCGACAGTAAATTATAAACAATTTTCACCTTGTGGTATGGTAATTATAGGCAAATAATCTCCTACGGATTTTAAATTATAATCTTAACAGTGCTGTAGTTTTATTATTATTATTATTATTATTATTTTTTTTTTTATTTCTTTGTCTTGATAAAACAATACGTAATTATAAACAAAATTAAGCTTCATGGTAAACAAAAATTTATAGAAATGTATAGGAAAAAAAATTATACATTATTGACTTATTTCCGAGAAAAATTTTAAATTATTACTTAATGCGATTCCAGTCGCTATAGGTCATTGGTTTTCAAGATTTGTGCATCTTACGCAACTCAACCATTGCTAATTCATTATCTTCGAGTTACGAAGTGTACAAAATATACTGGGAATTAACCTCACGATTTAATAAATTACTACCTAACAAATTGTAAAATTACGAAAACACGCGTGCTTATAAACAGAGCCCGCCAGAGTGGTATGTATGTTGTGTTGTTTGTATGATGGAGTTTATTCGAATTTTTCCGATCAGAGATGAAAAAAACAACGACCGTTTAATCCATAACTAAGTTAGATCAGCGGTTCTCAAAACTTTTTGTTCACTGAGCCTTTAAGGTGTTATAAAAAATCTTTTTTTTAAGTTTATTTATAATATGTATATATTTTTACAATAATATGTATTCGCTTATAAATATTGTCAAAACTATACACTTTAAGTTATTTTAAAACGATACGGTTCAAATAATAGTTCATTGCAAATAGTATATATAAATTTAAAACAATTTAACTGGTAATAATTTATGAATTTGATTTAATTCAGATGTGCCACACAGTCTCTAGAATACTTTTGTCGAGCTCCAGAGTTTCGCGGAGTACACTATGAAACCGCTGGATTATACACACAGCAATTTGCGTTCCAAGACGCGAACGTTTATTTATTTTTGTTCCCATCAAGCCTCGTCTGTACAACTATATATTTATAAACGACGCAATTCGTGAAGAATATTAAATTTCACGTGTGTACGCGTGCAGCACAATGAATGCAACGCACGACTATATAGCTGCCCATCTAGGATAAGGTCCTACATGCACCGTGCTACTACATGATGTAAAGCCATAAACCGGTTTCCTATTTGTCATCCTGTTACACCCACTCATCGGTATGTGCAGCACCGTTAACGCACGGGCATCATGATTTAGGTATCTCTACCCAATACAAGCTGTACTCCGCACATTATTATTATTTCATAGAAGACAAACTCACTCTCACTACATAATAGTAATAATAATATGCGGGACAAGACGTGTCGCCGTGTCGATTATAAAATGTCATATTGTATCGCAACAATTGCACCGAGATACTTATAATATTTTTTTTATTCTATGTATGTATATAATATATTAGTTATTATATTATACAAATACATTTCAAATACGTTTTCGAGGTGCGAAGAGAAAAATTCTTTGAGTAGGTAGCTAATACTTACATACGCATGTGTATGTTTATGGGATATATTATTCTAGGCTGGTCTTGTGGAATGTAGGTACAGCAGTTTTACCAAATTAAGATGAACAAGAAGTGAATGAACGTTCAAGGTTAACAAGGATGGTATTTTATTTTCAGCGCTAACTTCAAAGGAAATATTCTGTCACAGTTGGTTGACTATTGTCGCCACTGAATTATCTACAGAAGTGTAGAAAAAGGTATATTATAATATTGTCTATGAGAACGATCACTACACAAGTACCAACTTATGATTTATTCGTGAGATTTATCGAATAAATTGACAACCGCGAGATCGAAGTGAAATAAACGAGGAAATTAAAAAAATTTAATTCGCACAATACAAGTATATTAGAAATGCAATAAAATAGTAATAACTGTTTTTATTGCATATAGTAGTGCCATTAAGTTATGTTACGGAGGCGATTTAATAATATTGTTTTGATATTTTTCAAAATCCAATAAATATTGAAATCAGTAGGTGTTTTTAAAATATTTCGTATTGTTTATATTATTATATTGATTTTAATTTATCATTAAAATACGTAATATTTAATTTCCAATGTGAAATATAAAATATATATACTGATTTCATATTTTTAAAATATCAACTAACTATTAGAACGTTTACATACGTGCACGGTGAAACGAACAATATTTAGATAATAGTAATGAAATTCTAGCGATTTTTTATCATTGTTACAATTTTTAATCTTTTCATGTAGTATAAAAGAAATCAAATTTTTAATTGAAGGAGAAAGAGCCCCATCAACCAGAGGAGACGAAACGCCCACGGCGACCCACATACCCAATGGACATAATAATAACAAACCTTAAGTTATGTTTCTATTTTGTGTTTTCATTGTTTAACCCAGCGGATGCGTGTGTAATATACATAAATATATTGGATATACAGTATTGTTGTACAATTTTCGTATTGTTCTACACGATTAAAAACAAACATTTGTTAATAAGATAAAATTAATAAGAAATTAATTGATTTCCTTTTTGCTAAAAGCTTTAAATGAAAAAATAAAAATAAAAAGATACTAAGTCGTAGAATTTGACTATAGGTACACATTTTTAATAGTCAATTAAACGTCATTAGAAAGTCGCTGCATGCTATATCCATTATGTTTTACTGATGTTTTATGAGCTATCGCGTATGTGGCATGTACGAAAGCTGGTTGGGTGACTTAAAACAGGGCAACAATCGTTTGACCCACATAAGTTTAACATACGTACCTTGAAAAGTTTTTTATTAATCTATTCCTTTATTTTTTAAATTAACCTTTATAAATTAGATGTTTGAATGAAATATTTTGTATTTAACATCTTAGCACTAATTTATAAATTTTAATTTAATTTGTGGTATTTTTTTTATGATTCATTAATGGTATTACAAAAAAAAACAAACGTTAAACTATATTTAAAATATTTCAACAATATAATATGTGTATTAAAAAAATAAATATAAATCTTTAGCAAAAGTTATTATGTTCAAGTTTATGTAATTATAATTTGAAATCCATAATTAAATAGGTATAATGTTAGATCCAACTTTGTAGAAATTGTAAAATATACTAATAAGTTATAAACATATTATTTTTTTATTACTTAAAATAACAAATTATATAAATACAGTTGAATGTTTGAACAACATTATTCAAATATAAATGTAACCAAGATTATGAAAGTAATAAATATTTTATGTGAATAAAATACGTCTAATGGCTGTTACTGTATTTATAAGGAAAAATATGAGACGGTATAGAGCACAGATGGGAACTAGACACAATTAAATTCGATACTGTTCCTGTATAATGCAGGTAGCCACATATCGTCAACCTTGAGAAAGGTTCTTTACGTCCTTGTGTACATTTTTTCTATAATGGATAGCGGTGAAGACTAGACGCCTAAAAATCTTCACGATTGTATGTAATGGAGTTAAAATAGCGTTTATCATATCAATACTAGAAGTATTGAATAAAAGTGCAGTTTATATTATACTATATTGTTATACATCATAGGCATTCTCTTGCTTCGTAAATCATACACCATTTGTGATATTTAATGATACTTCTAAACAGGAACGGATTATCATTATCGTAGGCCCTAGGCTCCTAGTCTTTGCAGGACCGTTGTTCAGTATTTAATTGGTTAAGAAATCTTCTCTTTGGGAGACGGAGTGTTAAATTTCATGCAGTGTTAAGTTTTTAAAAAATAATATTTAAAACATTAAAATTAAATCTACATTTTTATATGATAAAAGTTTTAACAAATTTAAAAAAAAAATTCATTTTAATCCAAAACATATATAATATAAATTGTCAAAAACCATAAAAAAAAATTTTTTTTTATCAATTTGCATACTACAAAAAAATCGTAGCCACACATTTTCGTATGATCAAAAATGTTTGTAGGCCCTAGGCACAGTGCCTATAGTGCCTATGCGCTAATACGGCCCTGCCTCTACAACTAAAATGATTCGATTTGTGTGTCATATGAGTGTTTCTGCCATACTATGTTATAACTTTAACTATAACAATAGTACTCAATATTATTGAAATTTTGATTTTGAATTCAGAAAAATTAAACAACAACTAATAAATATTTAACAATTTTATGATTTATATGAATATAAGATTTGAATCATAATAAGATTGTAAAACTGTAATATGCTTTGATGTTTTACCGGATATAGTAATAAATGTTTATGGATAACATTTGGTTATAACGGAATGTAACGGATCATTAAAACGGGTTCCAGGATATAATTCTAAAAAAATTTGTTAATTACTTCAGATATTCAATAATACAAATGCACTTTAATTATTTGAATATTTTATCAATTTCCTAAGGACTAACATGCACTTATAATAGGTAGTTTTATATAATTATAAATACTTTGTTATTACTATGCTGCAATTTATATCAAAAATCAAATCATACCTGAAGAAGAATTATTATCTGCATATCTGTTTTCTGGTTCATATTGTTCTGGACTGGGTGCGTGATCTGACCCAATGCCACTAGATCCACCGCTAGATCCCATTTTCGTACCGGATCTCCGGAATTCTTGTTTTGTCCCGTTTACACCAACAATATTAGAGCTCATACATCGTCTGAAATCAATACCGTTCAAATTGCCTCTATGTCTGTGTACAGTGTCGTAGTCCCTAGGTGGCAACAATATCGGGGCTCCACCAGTCTTTCCTCCCGTGCCCAATTTTTTTTTCAATTCAGCCGCTAGAGAATCGTACAGGGTTGTCATATTCCCCGCTCCCGGAACTCCACTTTCGGACGATGATGACAGAGGCGATTCTCTTTTCCTTTCATTTCTATTACTCAGTGGTTCGGTTTTCATCAGTCTTAACTCTATCTCATTAAGTTTCTTTTTGTTTTCAGGTCGGTCAATGAGCATTTGCAACTGTCCGGAAAGTAAAGTTGCTGTTTCTATAGAATCACATCGGTAAACATGCACATGTACGGGCCATTTGGTAACGGGGTTGTAAAGGAGTAGAATCACAGCTACGAGGTCTTCATCTTGATGAACACAAGTGATTGCGTGATCAGGGATCAGGTGTTTTACTAAATCACTTTTCGAACTTTTACCTCCGGGCAACGATGTCAAAGCAGAGACATTATGGACTATTTTTAATCCTCTGTGACTAACTTGAAGTGTAAACTTATAAGGAGTGACTTTCTTTTCCCTTTCTGCCAATGTTGATATAACAGGAATGATGCTTTCTACATCTCTCACATTTTTGCATTCCTGAGCTCCGAGGAACCACACGTAGTACGAACTTTTTTTCACGTCTTTTTTCATATTGAAATTGTTTTCTTGCTATACATGTAAGAATATTACTAGTTAATCACCAAAACAAAAACATTTATTTGTATACTAAATACTACATCAAAAAAAAAAAAAAAAACGAACTACTACTACACTATACACGGAAAAAAAAACACAACAAGTAGACGATTGAAGAATAACTGATGATAGAAGTTCCAGGTGCAAGCAACAAAAATTGTGGAAGTGGAGGTGGTACCGGTTTATATGGTAGGTATTTGAAAGGAACATAAACCAGGCAGCGCTGCCAAGCGAAAACGAGATATTGTCCTCGATGCATATTATTAATAAAACATAATGTTTATTTACAGTTCATAATCCTTAGAGCTTTTAAACGTTTGTACTAATAATGTAATACAAATTCAAATTGTATGTATAAAATGTAATTTATAATAATACAATTAATGTACAATTAATGATTAAGTTATATAATTTTATAAAGTAAAAATAATACTTGCTATATTTATATTGGATATAATATAGGATGGTTACAATTGTGATTATATTACAAATAATTAATTAATAATAATAGCTAGATATTTCAATGTCTTATTAATATTGATATCAATTGATCATATTAATTTAACTTATGATTCGTTTAAAAATTGGTTGCAAACTTAATAAAAAAAATCTTTATATTTTCGAAAATATTTCTTTTAGAAACAGTATTGAATAAACAGAAAATAGTTTTTTATTAAAATGCTCATTAATTTTTGTGTATTTTATTTTTTTATTATAATATAAATTTACTTTTATAAAAACATGTAAATAATTTCTGAGTGTATTTAACAATTTAAATACTTTCCAGGTCTACAACTTTAAAACAAGTAGAAAACAAATAATTTAGTGTTTTCGTATTTCTGCGAAGCATTGTTTTAAAATAAAATATGAACATGAAAAAACCGAATATTTACACCTACCAACCTAACCTATCAATTTAAATCAATTAGAAATAGTGATATTTGAAAATGTAAATATATTTTAAAGCATAAAAAAAATAAAAATAAAATAGAATTCGACTTCAAAAAACTAAGTTGAAGACAATATTTAATTATGTCGAAAAAAAATTATTATATTTTGATGATTTTGTAGGTGTTAGATGTTGCGCGAAAATACATGTAAAAATATAAAACATAATTGAAAGTTTAAACTACAATCTAGCAACTCCTACCCGGATATTGCGGCCTACATACCTACCTATATAAAATTCATATAATATAATTCAGCTGCTCTTCCTCATAAATGAATTTATATTTTGTATTAAATTAATTAATTCATTATATATTTTAAAATAACATTTATAACGTATTAAATTATTAAAGAGGATTTTTTTTTTCATTAATATCGTATTTGGTACATAAATCACTTTTTTTTTTTTAATAAGATAAGAGAAAAATTAATTAATTAAAATAATAATAGTGTTCATATATTTATTCGTATACTATAAAATAGTATTATTAATTAATAATCATGTATTATTACAAAATATATTTTTTTTTTTTTTTGTTGGGATCACAATTCTAAAAACTACAAACAAGATGTTTGCAATAAATTGAATCTAGTGTTAAAAATAAAAATCAAGTAATTCAAGGCATTATTATTGGTTTATATTAAAGTAAATTTAATCCCTTCTACAATATTATTTGAGTTGTCTCGTCTCTGTTTGGATGTCTCTTTATCAGCAGTAAGCATTAGCAACCGGATACGATAATTTTATAAGTGACTAAAATGTCATTTAAACTGTGGACAAATTATTTTTTCTTCTGGATAAAAATAAAATAATATTTTCATTTTTCGTGTCCTCACTGTTAGCGAATGATATGTACTTACTCTCTAGGATTAGAATAGAAATGTATATTTGGAGTTTTTAATTGAATTAAATGACGCATTGTGTTATATTTTAATGATCACAACACTAATTTATGAAGTAAAATGAAATTTCGTATGCTTAAGTTTTTATTGTAATTTCTGTTACGTTTTAATCAGTAAGAAATAAATTAAAATTATCGTGCATATTATAAACAGTGTATAATTAATTAATTTTTTATCCGTACCATTATCCTCCTTCATACAGATAACTATAGATAAGAGTTGAGAAAAACTTTTAAAATTACACGTTCATTATAATGCACGTGTATAATATAAATAATAATATGTACACCCGTACTGTATATAAGACATTTGCTGTCACAGAAGAGGTTCATGTAAGTATAATTTATTTCTTAATAGTTTGGCATTTAACAGGTTTTTTTTTCCATAGTTTTCATGAACCCAAATATAATTTCATATATCCCGTTACGTAAATCGTCATCTTTACAGTACGTTCTTATCGATGAATGATTGTACCCATCACCTAGTTAATATACATGTATACGTTTAAATTACGTATTAATTGGTATATTTATATACAGTAAAACAATTTTTTGTGCGTAGCGAAGAAGCAAACGCGTAGATTTCTCGTCCTATGTTTATAACTACAACAATTACCTCGGATGCGGTCAACGACAACGCTTAATGGTTTCATGTGAGAGTAACATTACACTTTTACACGGTTTTTTGCTCTCCGTCTGCTAAACTGTTGCAGTGTGTAATATAATTGCCTCCGATTCGCAGCCGCTGTGTATAGTTGTACACTATAGTATTATCTTGTCATTTCGTACACGTAACTGTCAAGTTTTCTTGACCTTCAAGTATTATTCGCACAAATCGAATGTTCGTGTGCGTGTGTGTTTTATAGATACTATATACCAGTGTAATCTTTCTTTAGTAGTTATTATGACATTCTCTTGATAGTTTAGTCAACCGGCTATGACGACAGAGATGCGAGATACCTACTAAGGCGAGGACTAAGGAGAATATTGAGTATACTCTCCATTATTATATCAATATATACAGAGGTTGTTCGATTTCTTTCCATATTTTTCATCGAAAGCGAAACGACACTGTATTTTAACAAAATAATATTTATAATAATATAATATACGATTAAGACGCTCACGCGATCATGGCTTAACCTATATTCATATGTTTATAGGAGTTAGCTAACAAATAAAACGTCCTTGATTGTTTGACTCCGTGACGAATCTTATTCAATTACTAAAATGACGACAGGTAACGGCTGTATTAGAGCGTAAGAAAATGTTTAACGACAAGTTCTAGGACAGAAATCAAAAGGGCGTTGTCGAATTCAGTACATCTGGCTGTACTAGCTATCATTGTCCAGCCATAAACCAATTAAATTTGTGTTAAACGCTTCAAAACTACTCAAATTTTAACATTAGTTATTCGGACTGCACTTTAGGAAAAAATAAAGCCTTACATTTCTACAATACGCCAGTGATGCGCCCAAGTTAATTTTATAGATGTGAAATACTCAATGTTACATACGTGCAAACCAACAGGATGTCCCACATTCGTCTCTATTTTCCTTTACAAACTCAAGTATTTATAAATTGAAGCTATAAAATAAAGAATAATATTTTTAGTGTTGTTTATTTGAGCTTTTTTTGTAATATTTTTTATTAGATTTTGAGTGAAACGAGGAATGTATTAAATTTAAATTGATGTGTGTTTTTGTTGGTTACCCGATTTTGACCAAAAGAATCACTCCGATCATCACGCATTGAAGTGTATATATCATTCAAAATATTTCGAATTCTTTTAAGCTATTCAACATATAGAATTTTTCGTAAAATTAAAATTACATTATTTTGATTTGACATTGTATCTTGACAATTTATCAAAAGTTTTTCTTAATTTTTTTTTTAAAGAAATTTAAATCTATACAATTTGATGGATTTAAAATTAAAAACGATATTTCGTACTTTTGAACAGTTTTTTGAACTAGGTCAGTTTTTAACATTGATAACTACGTCTAATAAAATTTATTAATTATTACCATGATTCGTTTGGTAAGATTAACCTAAGATCGTAGTTATAGTATAGCCATACTTATTGAATGATAATAGTTTTTATTAACTAAAATTCGATAAAAAGGTGAATTTTCATAACTCGATAGGGAGGGATTGACCTTTATTATCCTCCCTCAACGAATCTCTGTGGATGGCAAGGCCGTAACTAGGAGGGGGGTCCAGGGGTCAAGAACCCCCCCCCCCCGAAATTTTCAAAAGTAGAAACATTTTAGCGGGGGAAAGTCTTTTCTAACCTTAAAATGGGTTGAAAGAAAATCCTGCCCCCCCCCCCCCCCCCGAAATTTTTTTCTAATTACGGCCTTGGTGGATGGTATACTTAAAGCTCTATTTGGCGTTTAAATGATCGGTATATTATTTCTGTTAGGCGATACATTGGTACAATTAACACAATATTTACATACTAGAAATCATTAACTGTTTGAATATGGCACGTTAATCATCTAAAGTACATAGATAACTATTGCCTGTTTGATCAATTAAATTATTATAAATATATAAGTTATACGGTAACTAACAACAATAGATGTAATTTATATACGGTTATAACATAATATTAAATTAATGAATGCATAATTTAAATAAACTTTGTATGATAGTTCCTTAAAACTAACGAAATCATTTTCAATTATCTATTTGTATAAGGAAACTGTCTTCAAATTCGAAAAAATTATTTTAAATTACTTTAAAGCTCTATTATTTTAAATATTTTTTTATTTCAGGTCATCAACAATGTTTAATATTTAATGAGCGCAAAAAGAAATTAATACTATAAGTATATACAAATTAATTATTTATTTAAATGCTTCATCAAATACGTATTAACACTTTAAATAAATTATGAAGATTTTAAATTACATGTATTATCCTTACAGCTTTGATCTGAGGAATATTGACATGTGTGTAATTATCAATATTAATAATAATATGCTATAAAGTAATAATAAAGAAAATAAGAAAATAGTTATTGATAGAAATACGCGATTTCCTTTTATGTAATTAATAATAGCGATTGTAAAAAATACATTATTATAATTAAGTCTTATTAAATATTTACTATGGATTTAATAAAAATTAGTATAATACATGCTGCATTCAAAAACCTGATGAAAAATTCGTGATTAGAACCTTGGGCGTACACGTTCAATATGGATATAGTATAGGTGGTAGTACAGTACGTTCAA